TGTAATTAAAAGACGGCATCCGGCAGTTCACAGTGGAAGCCGAATCGTAGACAAATTTGCTTTCTGGCATACTGTCTCCATGGAAATGAAAATCAAGAGTTTCTATGTACAAAAGACGTGTACCAATTCCATCTGCAGATTCTCTCTGGCTTTTAAGTGAAGACACGCGATTGGTAGAACACATCTGTACCAGTGACGCAGGCAATATTTTGCAAATTAGTTAGCTTTGTCGGTGTCAAATCCTTTTTTTTTCTAGCTGGTCTCCAGAACCTTAAGGATGCGCTCAATACTTTGCGGAGCAGAGTTCCCAAGAACGCCCTGAAATATGAAAATACGAATAGGCGGATTATAATTAGACCTTCTCTTAAGGATATTGGTGTCTCTTCTGCAAAATCGATAGTGCTTCATAAGTAAATTATAATCATTACACGACAATCTGCTATTTTTACTATTACTATTATTTTTACTTACTGTCATATCGATAAAGTCATGGAACTTCTTAAGCGCTTGTGCGAACGATTGTAGGTTGCCGCCATTGATCTCTTTGAGGGTGGCAGTTCGTTCCGCGTGGCCTTGGATGACACAGCCGAGCATAAGTGCTAGGTACGCAGAGATAATGCTGTGCTCCATATGCTTTCCCGCCTGACGAATATTTAAAATGATACAAAAGAGAAGCGTATAAAGTCAGCAATTGTTTTATTACTTACATTTCTAAGTGCGATAGTATAAGCATACTACTGCAGAGAAGTGTTTCTTAAATGCGAAGCTTACTAAAAATGATCTAATCTAAGACTGCTGTCTTTCCTACACTAAAACAAGGCTGCAATTTCTAATACACTGAATTGAGTTAGGCACATTCCAGGCCTTCCCGAATTCATTCATGAAATTTTCTGATACAATTTAGAAGTCACGGAACACGAAATTCGTGCCAAAATTTGCCTGAGGCACCTTTTGGATGGCTTTGCGAATTGTTTCTTCGAGGTCATCGGCGGCATCTTTATCCTTTTCTCCTTGAGCAGATCCGTTACTTCCGGCCTGTCGTTCTTCAAAGCGCTTCATTTCTTGCTGTTTGGTCTTCTCCTCCTGATTATCAAGGATTGCATCTGTTTGATTTTCAGATGCCGCTGCGGCCTCCTGCTTCTCCTTAAACAACTGGAATTGCATTGAAAAAATACGGATTAATTGCAATTAGGCAATTTATAGACGGCTAAATACTACGTTGCGCACGATTTATAAATGTGGAAAATTCTTCTCAAATGAAATGACGTGTGATTTTTTTAAACTTTTCAATTACCGCGGGTACATACAGATTCTTATTATTATCATCAAAACAAAACATGATATAGAAATTTATCTTTGCGCAAACTAATATCCAGTCGATAATTAACATACATTTAAGCTTGTCTTTGAATAAAAATCCGACGGTTAAAAATCCATAGATATTTTCTTACCTCGACCATTGCAGAAAAAGCGTTGCTTCTTTTCGACAGGTTGCTGACGCTGCTGTTCGAGTCCGTAGTGGACACTCGCACAGATGACGTAAGCAACCATTCCCGCATTACGGTCGAGTGCTCGCTGATATTAATCGTTAAACCGAGCGCCAGCAACTGCAGATCAAATCTTAACTCGGAATCGAGACTCGCTGGTAGATGCAACATACATTCGAGAAGTTGCCGCATCGTACGATCGCGGGAGCCCCAATTTCCCGAGGATTCATCTAGAAGGCGAAACAAGGAAATGTTAAAGAAACGCTTGCAGATCTTTGCAATACGTGGCAAGCAGCAATATCATAAATAGCACGCGTGCTTAAAAAAATTTGAACTCTTTTCTTCTCTGAGACTGATTGTACACGATTGCGGTCCTTTATTCTTATTTCGGATTGCGATGAAGTGCGTGCAGTATACTGCCTTAAACATCAGAAATAAGGTAAGTACTTAGATTATATTTTGCATTTAAATATTTCTATTAACTTGAACGAAAAGATACCAGCGAAACGATAAAGTACAGGAATATTAAATGTAGCCGAATAGACAAACAAAAAAATTAATTTGAGTGTACTAACCGTTCTCATGAGTGACATTGAGCATAACTTTGAGAAGAGACAACAACACAGATAGGAACACTGGTCCTGGACCGTCAGCCTTCTGTAGGGCTACTGTAATTGATTGACCTTCGGGAGCCGACGGATCACTAACGTCTAGTACCTGATGAAACTCTATGTTTTCAAAACAGAGGTTGAAAAGATCGGCACAAAAGTCTAACACAGTGCCGCCGCGAAATTTGATAAGGTAATCCTGATTGGCCGGATTGACGAAAGTCACATTTTCCAACACTCGTAATACTCTTTCTATTTTCTTAAGCTTATCAAGCTGGTCGGCTCTGGGGTCATCCATAACACCCCAGTTGGGCATCTCTAGTTGATTCATTGTCTGCGTCACAAGATTAATGAGATGTGTCAGCCCACCCTGAATTCGTAACTCTTCCTTGAACCACTCGCCCGCACGACGCGACGTCAGACTTAGAAGCGTTTCAAGCGCAAGTCCGCTGGCGCTCACCTGTTGTATCGGTAAAAACGGAAATTAAAAATAACGTGCTTTCCTCTAAATAGTTAATTATTTAACTATTTATGATTGGTCGGCAATTAGCCGATAGTTACGCTAAAGTTTTTAAGCACAAATCCGGTTGACGTTTTCCATTAAAAAAAAAACTGCCAGAAAATTTTCCGTAATTTAACGACACCGGACAGAAGTAGTGAAACGCATTCAATTTAGCTTTACGCATAATTTATTAGTACTCATGTGAGCGAGCAAATCATGTGAAAGTTAACAGTTCGAAACTTACCCGTGCCATATCTAGATGTTTAGCATGTCCCTTAGAACGCATCTGTGTGCACAAATTGAGAACCTTTTCAGCATGTTTGCCTTCGCCAGCCGCTTCTCCAATTTCGAATAATTGGAGAAGGATGGCAAGCGTGGAAGCTTCGAGGTCCATAGTGAGCCTATCTTGCGATAAGACGAAAAACAACGCCGAAACACAAAGCGCAAGCGACTGCATAGTCGGGTGCGAAGGTAGATAGAGGTAATATGAAAATGTTAAAAATAACTTTAAAGATTGAAAGTTATATCAATTCTATATAAAACGTAACATTCAGTTAAGGTTATCACACTAGTATTTGTTTCTATGTAACATAGCGCATAAAATATGCTTAACCGTATCATGAATAACTGAACATTTCATAGTCTTTTATCACTTCATTTATGGCTTTCATTTTCTTTCTTAGGGAACGGGGCCTGACATTTCTAGTCTTAGCACCATTGTTAATGCCTGTTAGTCCAACAAAGTTCGCCCAACTTTCCTGTTAGACAAACCGAATTATCTAAGGATACTCTATCAAAGACAATACACAAGTAGGCATAGATTAAGGAATATGTGTCAAAAAATAAGAAAAGATGTACTCACTGGATGCTTAGGCGCATCCTTGACGGAGCCGAAGAACTTTGCCATAACTCCATGCGCGCGAAGATGCACGCGAAATTGTGCGGACATACATTTGTGTGCTAGTGAACACACGGATAGGCACCGGGACGCAAGCGAATTAGCTTGTGTCACACTTTCAAGAAGGTATTCGACGTCGTCATTGAATTCCTGTGCCTCGCCGATCTCATGCACCTTGTAGGCCTTCAAAACGTTGCGAACTGTTGCATACGACTTCCCGCTTTCCTGAAAACCCACAGGAAAGAATGAATGGACGAAACAACGGTAGTTATTATAGCACTAAACTCAAAAATCAGTAGATAATAGAGCAAAAAAGTAATGGCCATCAAGGTTGGATTACTAAATGGCAGTTACAGCATATACAGAGCTAAGAAAGATGTCCCTGAAGAAAGTAGTACACTATTGCTAAGTCGAATAACCACTTCAAAAAGTAATTTAATCTTTTTCCTTGGAGTTTTTTTTATAAACTCCCAAGAAAAAAGCAAATTACGGCTGTGCTCTGTCTTTACCTGTTTATTTTCTGGCTCAGTAAAATCACCTTCGAAAAGGTCTTTATCTGTGACGGAATATCCATCGTCTTTCTTCGTGAAGGCCTCAGGTACCGAACTCTCTTGATCACCACCAGGTCCAAATTCTTCGTCTTCGCCAGTAAAATTGAATAATTTGTAGCGGGACACCGCTTTGGCTTTAGCAGCTGCAGGATCTGTTTTGTTCTTACTTTTAAAGAAGGTTTTCTTGCTTCGATCTGTACCCGCCACTGGTTTTTCTTCCTTAACCTCGTCCTTTTTCGAAGCCTCTGGGCCCTCAGACGTTACCATGTCGATTGATGCTCTTGACTCTGGCTGACTTGTCAGCTTTTTTAATAGCGGGTTTTCGTACTCCACGTGTTGCGTTTCAGTACGGGCTTCTTTAGCTGTGATTATAAGTCAATAGAAATAGCAGAACAAAACTACGTCTATGAATATCATTTCATCAACCAACGAATAAACTGTGCATTTTGTAGATTCATTCTTATAGATGACTAATAAATAAGTTAAAGAGTTGCTTGTTATTTTTTTAGATTTATTTTGTTCTACTACACCTATTTTATACCACAGAATGCGTCCTCTAATATGGATCTATTAATCATTTATTCGTTCTCTAAAATACACCAACCCATTAAAAATTTCTCTCATTTAGTTTTTTAGGCTATAGAAATACACATTCTTTGATATCTGTTCAGATGCTTTTGATTTCATCCGCAATTCATTTTTGAACTCTGCTACTGCACAACGTCAGGTCATGCTAAGAGGTAGCACTATCAACAGCTGTAATATGCCGCTATATCTACATTTTCCGTTAAGAATTTTAGCTGGCTTTTGGTAAAGCCAATTTGAATTCGTAAATAATATTGACATAATTTCGGAAACAGACAAATTTGCATTTATATGTACAAACCATCCGCGGCATCCTCGGCAGGCTGCGGCGCATTGCGCTTGCGTCCATAGGATCTGACAGGAGCTTTTCTGCCAAATGATGACGGAGGGTCGTCAGGCAAGTCAGGAGTGTGGTCGGCTGTTGTGGCTCCACCTGTGGGAATTGCTACCGACCTATGATCGTTAGTTGCTACGCCCGTAAGATGATGATTTCCACCATATGATGCACTTAGGAATGATTCCGTTGTAGGCGATCCCGTTTCTCGTGGCGAAGGTGTAGGAGAATCTACTCCCGGGAGTGGTGACGATGATGTAGACTTGTTCGACAGAACTGACGAGAGTGGGCTGAAAAATATCATCAACGGAATGAAAACAAATTGCCTTCAAATGAAATAAGGCCACAAGCTTTTTTTGTTTGCTTTGTTGACTTAATTCTAAAGAATCGGTTAACATGTTTTTTCCATAAGTTATAACGAACCTCTTTATGAAGTGGTTGTCTCCGTGTTGCATCATCTACATAGTTTGCTGCTATCTTAAAAACATAAAATCCCGTTCATAAAAAGACAGACACAGAGTTAACTAATTTATTTATTTCTTAAACTCTGATATGGCGGGAGCGGTTTCACTGTGCCTCAGCACCACTTCCGTATCCAAATGCTCTTAAATATCGGTCAGTATAGTAAATTAGCTTGATTTCTTTCTGTGAATCAATCTAATGCCCTAGCGTCCTCTTTACTAAAGTTTTGTTTCTCCCATTTAAACAACCATATTACATTTCGATTACTAGAGTTCACACATATAGGTGTAGTGCATCAAGTTGTAATTACTAGTCATGGTTCTGTTCATCCCGCTGTCCTTTGTGGTCGTGAATTCGTTCTGGTATAAAACTTTTTTCAGAATTTTCTGCCACTCTTTATGGTTACAAATAAATGTAGAGCCCTTTCTGCGCTAGTGTCTATTACTTATTCGGGTGACGTATGAATGCACACAGATTGTCGAAGGATAAGCCACCCAAAAACAGCACTCCGTAATTCCTTAAATGATTTTTGCCTCATAGACGCAGATACTTCTAGTAGTATATATCACCTACTGAATAAGAGGCGGCACCTGCGGAAAAATAGAATTCTTGATTGGAAAAGCCTTTCGCTACTAATGAGATCAACAGACTTCTTAAAAGGATCAGTAATTTTTACCGACCGTTACTAAACGTGCAGTTCCCAGGATTCACCAGGGATTAATCCATAAACAGCTTTGTTTTCGTTGACTATTTGTTCTTGTTTATATACCCCGTTTGGCAAATATTGCAGGAATATATCATATCTACTTCTACTCTTAATATACCTTGGTACTGCGGGTAATTCGTGTTTTCCTGCGGCCAGCGATGTAATGCTGCTATTCTTAATGGAAAGCGTATGAAGCTGTGTCGTCTGCTGTGGGGTAGAAGAGAATGGGAGGGCTTTTGGCGGTATCGCAGTACTGGCCAGCAAGCTGTCAAATGCGTCGTTTGCCCGATTACGGCTCTTGAAGAATTTCTTCGGTTTCGGCTGCTTCGGAGCGGCGGCTACCGCTGGTGGGTTGTTTACCGAAGTGACTGTTGGTGATACTAATAAATAATTTCGTTCGATTAATAGAACAGGGATTGTCAGACCGATCCATAGAAAATATTTCACCCTACGAAACTAATGTTATTCCGTTTATTTACCCCTTTATTATACAATTGTATTAATTAACACAAAATAACCATATGGACTATGGTACTTATGGAGCGATATCATAACGCCTACCAATTGCATGCTCTCAAAATAATGAAGAATTCGCAAATTCAGATGTCTTAATATCTAGCATTCTAGGCATGTATTTCTCCAGATAACATCTAGTATTTTAAGTATGTATTTATTGCTTATGTAATATACATATTGAATACGAAAACACAAACATTCCCCAGATAACATGGAGCGTGTAGGTGTCTCAACATTTATCTTGCTTATTTCCATTCGGGTACTCACCAGGTTTTGGGTCATCTTCAAATGAATAAGCATCGCTGTTCCCGTTTGGGGTGGCGTTTCCGTCGCGAATCGAAGTGAATGATGTGACTCCGAACCGATTGACCCGGCCGACGGCCCTCTTGGTTGGAGCCCCAACTCCGGGACCTGGTGAAGGCGCCTTGTCCTTCTTGCGAAAATCGCGATATGGTTGGCACGACATTGTGGACGGTGTATGACCTCTTTATTTTTTCGCTTTCACGGTATACACACGTCCGACAGCCGTGACCTGTTAGTTAACGAGTACCCGGCAGGTCCAGCCAAGTTCTTCTTTATTGATATCGAAACACGTTCGCACAACGCCAATGAGATGCCAAACTCCTCTAGACCTGGCAGGATTCCTGGCGTAAGACTGAAAAACTTTTAATGACACACGCGATCGTATCAGGCGCGCAAGGCGTTAACGCATATTCTCCAATTACTATATATATATATATATATATATATATATATACATACATATCTCTTTACTACAAACTCCTGGATGACATCACTGCGAGGTTGAATGGAACATTGTGTTTGCTCAGGAGTTAAACTGCATTATTACAAATCCAGAATCCAAACTAAAGAGACACCAACAACAAGACGCAGCCGTAACATCTACAGCGAATGCATCTTCGTTGCTCGCTGGCATAGCTGTCCTATCTATCCTTGCTTAGGACAAAACCTCATGCTTCTTTTAGCTAGATAGCGCGCGTTAGATATATTGGCCATTAATGGTGATGATGGACGTGTTAAAACATAATAGGTTGAAGAAAAAGAGGACAATTGCCTAACGCGGCCACTCCTGAGATTGTTTCGTTTCTTGATGCCATCTGACCTGATGCTATGACTATGATCAATCAACGGCCAGGACAATAGTCGCGAAAATCATGGGCTCAATGTGTAATGTATATGATTGCCAGTACTGATCATTTATTGTTGATAGAGCTTCAAAGATTAAACATACAATATTACAATGCTTACAACGTTTTAAAAGATGATAGTACGATATATAACACAATATAACCCAACAAGTTGTTGAAGCTCTTACCACTCGGTCATCGAGTATATTACTCACTTGACTTTACCTGTTTTTTTTACTTGTTGTCTCTACAGCAGTTAGGGGTCATCTTGCTTCTACTATAGATGCGTTTCCGGCTCCTGGAAACTGAATATATTTCTAGTGTTTGAAACGGCCGAGAACACAGGACTGAAGTATGCGTTTAGCTCCAACTGAATCGAGTTCTCTGCTGTCTAAAACGAAGTCTATCGATTATTTGAAATATTATACTGCTACATTATTTAATACGCTGAAGTTGCTCAAGGCCTTACAAAACGGTGTTCGAATCACTTTAGTCATACAACTAGTTCACAAGGAATGACGCTAAAACGATAGAACGTTTAGAGAATGAAGACTTCCGAAGTTGGAAATGTGATCCAGTTATTAAGCTATAATCTATCAATCTCGCAGTGGATTACCGAACGCAATCCACGTTTATTTCACTGGATATAAGTGACAATGAAATTGCGACACTATCCCCGAACAAAGAAGGTATCACCAAGATATTAAACATTGTCAACGCGAGTTCGAGTATACGATTTGTTGCCATCTCGTTCTGCAAAAATACGTCGTTTACGAAAAGACCAACAAATATAACATCCAAAACGTGGCTCGAGGACCAGCAGTATCTGTCCATAATATTTACTAGTCAAGTATTGTGAAGACTTATTGTGTGTCAAGAATTATCCGAGTCTTTTCTGAAAGACTACTAATGTGAAAAATGCAAAATTTTTCTAATGAAGGAAAACATTGATTTTCCAAAGTTAATTTTGATGAATTCTGTATACACAATTTTGTTCGGACAACTACGACAGAAAACTCACATAACAATCTAGCATTTGATAAAGTTACGTTTTAAAGACTTCAGAGAAACGGGAGCAACAAATTTACGACGCGATTGATAAACTAACATCGTTATAAAGGACACTGCTTTTTTACACAGGTGAGTCACTTATTAACCTTTGACATTCATAACCTTAACGTTCTTTTTTACCCTTCGTTAGTAAAATCGGATTTTATTCCCTGAAAACACTAATGAACGTTTTGAAATAGCTTTAATCCGAATTATTTCAACTATACAGCTTGTAGGTTCTCTACTGTGACTTGTAGAAATAAGGCTCTATGAGGCAGAAACATTTGTGAAACGGGTCGGGAGACAGCTTCCCATATAGAATGTACACCTCCTAAGCCTATACGACCCGTATAATAACACTCGTCCGGCTAATTGAATAAATTCACCATGATCCTTAAAATTTTCTTCATAAGCTTGAACTGAGGTGCCCTGAGCTCTGAACTTACAATTTGATTTCCGCATGCAAAGCAACGAAACAGACATAGGCGGATTTTAACTTTTCTGCTATATGAATACCTTTATACAGTTAAAGGACCAGAGCCAATGCGAAGAACGACCGCTAATGAAGAGAGAAAGACAACATTATGAGAAGTGAATCCACGCTAAGGTGAAGTTAAGTGTTCTACATACCCGAAAATCGTGCGATAGTAGTCTCCGAAATCCATTATCAGTTTTTATTTATAGGAGGCCTTGCCTTTTTTTTGAGGTATACGTTTAAAAGAAAACACAATATGATTTCAACTCATTAAGTTAAGTTTAGTAAAACTTAACTTACTAAACTAAAAATATCAATTGTGTGGTGTTTTAGTTGTAATCATTGCTCGATAATTAACAAAACCGGTTGCATGTAGCGAAAATGACCTGCTGTCGTAATAGATTTTTATATGTAACTCCATTATTATCCATCTGTTCAGTGCTTTAGTGGATAAGTATATTATGAACGTAATGAAGTATCCCATATGAACACAACGGTGGAACTCTTAGCATTTTGGGGCTGAGTTCGACCGAATTTGCATCAGTGTGATGTGAACCAATGGTAGTTTGCTAACTAACAGGTCATCTCATATGTAAAGTGAGTTTATTACTGACGCAGGTGACAATTTAGGCAAATGGTAAGATGAGCATCAACTGATTGATTAGAAAAGTTCCTTTGAGGACACTTAATCCAATGTTGAAATAAAATGACAATAATACATGATGGCGTTTTAGACGACACACGTCAAATAAGACCCACGTTGAGTGTAAAACCCTCTGTTGACCCCTCGCACGCTCTTTTAAACATTTATTAATGATGACTATTAAAATTCTGGGTTTACTACTTCCGACGATTGACTCCGTGATAGCCCCTTAATCTTTTGGTACTGGAACAAAAAAATAGGCCGTTTTTTATGACCTTAACCCAGAAGTCAAAGTGCATCGCTGACGAAGCAGTCATAAACATTTTAACACTTTCCATGGTTTTGGGAAACCAAAAAAGGTCAGATGCACCATGCAGTAAGAATACCTTTGGTTGTATGAAAGTACAGAGTGATAGTGATAAGACTGTCGAACTTGCTAGCATCACTTGTTTTGTGTCGAATAATCGCAGCGGGTACAATGCAAAAATCAATAATACCTATGCAGTAAGTTACACAAGAGGCCATATCCGATACATGAAATAGACTAGTAACTCGGTTATGTGCTATCTTTCGCACGGCAATGGCAAATTTAGCCCGCGCATGCTGAAGCGAACGTCTTTTATGGGCGATTTAGAAATAATGACTGCGACGATCATGTCAGTGGCTGTATCACCAAAATGCCGAAGATATCAGAGTTTCTTTGAAAGTCGATACTAGAAGTTAAGCGACACGGAGAACCTTGGAAAGCGGGCGATACAAAGAGAAAGAGTAGGGTCGGCATTGCAAGAAGAAACGCAGCGGTAAAACCACATTGTCTGTTGTCATAATGTTGATGGCGTCACCAATGACGAGGAGATGCCAAACCAAGGGGACGCTGTCGAAAGCAAAGTAGTCAGGAGACAACGAATCCAGCTATTGCTTTCTGAATTGGCGCTAGGAGTCAACTAAATGTGCCACATGTGTGCGAGCAACGGAGCGGATCTAAGCACTTTCGGAAGCCCGTACTTGCCGCGGAACAGGTAGGTTCATAAGCTAGAAGAAACACATACCAGGAGCGGGGAGCAAAGCGACACGTCTGGACGCTGTGCTCGTCTTGATTATCTATTCCTATGAATATTATGACAACTGGCTCTGAATGGAAAAACACAGCGACCTGAAAGAACATCGCGACTTAGAAATGCATAAATAGCAAAATGGCATTTTATAGTAATAGCGGAGCGCAGCTCGAGGCGATACTCAGCTTTCGGCAAGGTCGTTTGTCAACGACTTAGGAAGACGCTAAGCGCCAAACCCCAAGCAACTTTTGGCCGACTGTCAAAAGCATAATCTTCGTAACCCCTTTGACATGCGCGGTGTCACAGTGTCTGACATTAGATTCTCGTTCTGAAAGGAAGTACATTACTGGCTACGGCCAGTAATATTAAATAGCAGTAATCTCGATATAAACATACTTTTGACGTATCTTCCACCAGATGGTTATGTCAAAAGCTCAACGTATGCATGATATCAATGAATGTCTCACTTGACTAGAGAATACATCACTGATTTTAACGGAGTTTATTACGAATTAAATGAGCAGCTATATATCAATATAGTATCTTTGACGGGATCATTGTGCCGCCGAATGTTTTCCACCCCCTACAATAAAAGGGTTGAGTAAATCATACTTCTACTATTTCTACTGAGTAGCTGTTATAATAGATTACTGACAGTAACTAATCGGTGAACGTTATTGATAATGCGTTGTACAAATAGTTAGGTATATTAATGACAGTGTGCTGAATGTGTCATACCGTCTTGTTGCCAATTTAATATAGATAATATATTTAATTTAGATATTCGGTCCTTTTGATCACGTCTCTCAAGGCGTGTGCCACACTAAGAAGTTACCCCGTAACATTTTACGCCCGGTTCTATCACTTAGTGCTGCTTCAGCATTTATAGCCTGGCAAATAATCAAACTGGCATTCAATGCTCCTTTAGGAGGTGAGGGTCTAAACCGTAACACTGCACGGATGGTCGATATTAATTGCCTAACTGCCTGTTTACCTAGATAATAAATGCGAACTGCTTCTATCATTAGACTCCTTGACCTCTTTATAGTTATTCCCCCGCGTTCCAACCCCTCTTGTAGCCATCCAACACCCGTGTGGTCACGTAAGTGTTACAGTCACAGTTATATCACTACCGTTTTGCCCCACACAAGATTTTAGACAAAAATACACACATCAAAAGCCAACGCATTCTTGAGCGGACTTCTCGTCATTTTAATATATTATTTATTTTAGTTTATTAATTTGTCAATGTGGTGTTTCAGCGGATGGTGGGGGCACTGGCACGCACGTGTGAAGATCATTAATATATGTTCTTGTAGCACTGAACATTCCTTCGTCATATAACGTTTATTCAATTTATCCTTACCGTTTTTAGCTGGATGACCAGTTTCAACCGCTCCGTTGAATGTACGACTGGTGCTTTAACTACTACAATAGAGCATAAACGTTCGGTTCTGTCTGTGTATCGATCTGTCGATCAGCCTGGCGGCCTCTATGAAAGACCCCTGCGACAGCCCTCAATCAGTACCGCAACTATGATTTTTGTTCTTACTAGTTGGTAGCATTGACAGGATCTTTCCTTGTCGCATGGCGGCAGTGGTCTCACAGCTATACGCACATATGTACGACCGAAGTCGGCCCATGCACAGCGGATCCTATCGGTCGCTGCTGGCGCTCACGGAGAACCGCCGGCGGTGCCCCACCAGCTACACAACTGCACATACCACCAACATCACAATCATCATCACGAAAACAAGCTCCACCAATCGTTCGTTCGGGGGTTTATACACACTCGAAGCACTGTACAGCACATCACATTGTACCCTCCCCCTTCAGCATAAAACCAGGCGTTCCTTCTTGGCCTTGTTCGGGCAAAATGGTATAGATTGTCTTCTTTGACCAATGTGATAATATGGCACAGCACCCCCAGCTCTGCCGTGTCTCGGTAATACGGCGGTTCCTCTGTTACCACTATTATTCAGAGTCGGTTTTGAGAGAGTACTGGACACAGTTGGTGAGTCGACTAGGTCGAGGGGCAGAAAAAAGCGACACCTTGTAGCCGCTGTAGAACTGATGAAGAACAGAGCGTTTCGTCGACTATTAAAAATGGTCTTTAGGGTATATAATGCATGTTGGTGTAGGAATATCGAGATACTGGTTCATTGGTCGGCGCCTATCTTGCCGGTTAGTCCATACGATGCTGGTTGACCACAAGGGGCAAAATAGAAAGGCGCTGTGTAGCCAGAGTAGTCGCTGTCGTAGCAGTTGTATTAGTAATAGGTCGTCGACCGCCGTTGCACTTATTGCTTGCCGTTGGCTTTCGGCTGCTACTGCTGCTGCTGTTGTTGTTATTGTTGTTGTTGTTGCTGCTGCTGTTGCTATTGCAACTACACAGCGGAACCGCAGATGTACGGACAGCATCGACTACACAGCACACACCTTCGAGTACTGCTCCTACGATAGCACACACAGCATCCCCCCAGCCGCACAGCACAGCACCAAACCAAGTGCGGCAGCGACCAAATGATCATCACTATGAGCCAAGCTGTGGAAACATTGGTACACACACACAAGCATGCACATTCATGCTCAAGCAGCACCAGCACCTAATAGTACTCATTCAGCACAAGTGACTGACTGACTGACTGACTGACAGACAGACAGACAGACAGACAGACAGACAGACTGCTGCTGCTAAAGACAGACGCACAGACACTCTGACTGACTAACTACTGCTGCTGTTGTTCAAGGAGTGCTACTGTAATTGTCCTACTGCTCTCCGATGGCCAGGCGACGAGGTAGGTAGACACACCGGCGGCGAGTTGTTATTTAACGCTGCCGCTGCAACTGTTGACGCCGATGCTGTTATTTTGCAACGAAAGCTGTTTCGGCTTGTTGTCGAGAATTCGTTTTCGTCGAAGGGTCACCCGATAACAACCTAGCTGCTCGTCCGAAGTTCGTCTACGGACGGTTTGTTGGGCTGCTATGGTTAGCGGCTGACTATCCGCTGGCCAACACCAAGGAGTCTAGTTGTTACTGCTCGTGATCATGTTTTCTCCGACCAAAACAAATATGGCGCCCCTATACAGCGAGGTAACGAGTGAGTGAGTGAATGAACGGAGAGCAGCAGCGGACAGACAGACAGACAGCCGTGTCCCACTCACTCGCACCGCACGAAACAGTCAAAACGACAGACATTATCCATCGATACTACCGCATAGCATAATAACATAATTGCTACCACTACTCACTATTGTAGCCAGCAGGAATGGCTGATCAGGCTGATGCCAACCGGCCGGGCCGCCCGCGAATGCCTTGCTTGGTGAGAGAAGGGAGGGGGCACTTTTTGAATACGAATGTGGCGGGCTTGTAATAATAATTATATGAAATAATCAAGAGTTTGAATTAACCCGAAATCGTCATGTCAGGAACCACTGAGGAACTTTAGTTAAATAGTAGCTGTTATTTTTTATTCGCTTAAATAGCATAATATTTAGCTGCCGCCGGCAATAATTATTTTCAGCATTAGTTGGACTAGTTCGGTCTAAGCTGGAGAGCGGCTCCGCAAGGTGCAGAAGATATTATCGTATAGCTTTATTAGATGTCCAGGATAATGGTTATCTATCAGGATGCTTTTGGAGCGGCCGTCAATTAGAGTGCAAAATAACGATTTACACTTCTATAGAGTGAAACAGCATTGATCAGCAGCAGGACGAGCTAACTATGTAGAATGCGCAAATCAAGAAAAAAAACTAACCAGATTTCTTTTTTTTTTAGCTACATCTGACCTTCTCTGGCAGTATTTTTCTATTAGCTGATATGAGCCTCAGTAAGTCTAGTTTCAGCGTTATATACTGCCACTTTCTGAAGGCATATAAACGTTCACAATTGATAAATAACCTGTTCATGAATTGGAGATATTACATAATATTTTGCATGGCATAACGTGGACGAAGATTTATGGTTCGCTTTAAATACTCTTTTTTACTAATTTGCTTTGCCAACGGGTTGCGTCAATGACAACTGCATTTCTGCTACGAACTTTCATTGACCAATGTTTTAACTTGATGTTTGGCACGCCAGAAAAAACAAAAAAAAAGAAATAATTTTTTGTCTCCCCCTTCTTTTTGCTTATACATATTATTTTAGCGCAGTATATACCTGGAATGCTTGATGTTGATCTGTTGTATAGGTGGCAAACGTGGTGTTTGCTAGGTTGCTTAATTTGAAACGCGAACATTCATATAATCATAATTACCATACGTGCATGAGAGCCGAAGTTTAAATGTCGAATCGGCTTCAGCAGCACCTGCGCGCTCAAGCGGAGTGTCGTGTCATTTACTTTGATGAAACGGAATTTACTATACAGAATGTAGTGTAGTTTTAAAAGAGAACATGGCCAGTACTTTAGGCACTACTTTTACTGCTACGCCATGGCCATCCGTAAGTATACATTACGCCGAAAAGAGCCGTATTAATACTATTATTAAATATTATTCTAGTTTAAGGGGACTGGTGACGCGTTTTTGAAAGTGGGTAGTCATTTAAGCTGTGTGGCAAGACCAAGTTTCCGTTCCACTTGACACTTATTCTATACGCCGTCGCCTGCACAGAGAGCTACAGCAAAACTTTTTTTAAAAGCAAGGCTCTATGCATCAAAATAGCTTTATAGTTGATACAGATCTGGCCGAACATACTTACTCTCTTTTTTTTAGTTTGTTTAAAATAAATTGGTGTTAATTAAAATCATTATTACTATAGGTAACAAAAAAAAAAACTATCCACTTTGATAGACTACATTATTACACTGCTCATCTTTGAAAAAAAGGAACATGTTCTGCGTATTGCTATAGGTCCGAATATACGTATTATGCCGCAGCAACATATCCGTTCTAGCCATACAAACATCACATCCATTTCGGATATAACAGAATAACATGCAAATTTTTATATAGATCGAGTTTCACTGCTGTTTATTGTCAACAAGGTTATTAACAACAGATGTTAGCCGTATTGCTCCAATGATTGTAACGATTTGTGGTATGTGATTATGACAATACAAATGTTCGGCGTAATCTTTAAATGGCACATTTTCTTATCCGGTATCATTTTTGATTTAGAACACCTATTCATCTGAAACTTTGAGCGGCAGAACAGCAACGTTGTAAACAGTTTCGATTGCTACACTCTTGAACTTCTTTGAGGTATTTGTTAGTCGGTGAAAAGCGCTAGAAATACAGATAATCATTAAAGAACAGCCATGTATGAACAGTTAAACGGTAATGAATAAGCCTTTTTAGTGTGTAGTAGCTCGGTTCAGGCATGTACTTTCATAATAATAATTTCTACGTTGCGTAACTATGAAGGAAGTTCTTAAAATAGTCTGCTTTTAAGGCTGTTACTGTTTCCTTGTTGATACTGTTTATTTCAAGCCTAAAGGGTCACCAAATTCGAGCACTAATTAGGCTTCTTTTTTGGTAGATGACTATTTATGTCAACAATTAGTGTCGTCTAGGTATAGCTAGTAGGTCGGTCGCTTGGTTGGCTATACATATAGAAACTGCAGGAAACATTTTGAGTCGCTCATTGACTGCTTGATCAGTGGGAGGTTAATCGATTTGTATTTGCAACACAGTATTTTTCTCATATGGAAATTTCGAACAGATCTAAAATCTGTGAAGGGTTAAGATGGTACTAGTAAATAGAACAGCCGCTTTCTTTTCAACCAGCTTCTTTATTCAAACACAGGTGAAGTAAGTTTAAGTAAAACATAGAAACATTCACGTCAACGTTATTCTTTTGTTTCTGTAGGCTTCAATAACTCGTACTGCCCAGTAAAAGGCTACTACCGCATTTAGAGTAGCTAGCAAAAGGAACAGCCCAAGATACTCCCCCAAACGATCCCGGAAGTAGCCTGAAAGCAAAAATGAGTTCTTTCAATGATCCGATGTTTCTTGAAACGCCTCGTTTGCCCCATAGTATGAAAGGCAATCCTACAGCTTTCTGGCAACTAGGACATATTACTAAATTTTAGTCGTTGCTAATACTCAGTTACATTTAGGTGAAATCAACTAGAACAGGTTTGTTAAAATACCAACCTGCGAGACGTAATTTCAATCGCATACAAGCGGATTACCTCGATACATGTTACACAATTTAAGTACTAGAATGGAGTACTAGTCGCAAATTACCACATTCGAAACTGAAGTCTTTTTGTTAGAGAGACTTTTAGATTCGTCTGCTAACCTACGAGAAAAGGTTTCAGAAGCGTGGCAATCCCAATGAGGAAGTTGGCAAATGAAAATGTGTGCGATAAATTGTCGAGTCCGAAATCATTGATTAGAACTATGATGAAAAGAATAATCCTGCATCCATTGGAGGTACCCATCAAAAATGCAGAAAACGACAGGCCCACCATCGTGGACGAATATGATAGCAGCACAAAGCTAAAACACTGGATTACGCTTCCTGTAAGATAGACGTGAGCAGGAGAAGTAGGAAATCAAAGTTATTTATTTTATGTACAATAGAATGCAGTTGCCTTGCTCTAAACAATATACTTACTTAGAGATGCTACATTTGTCTAAAACATTCGGCTCTATGAACCAATATGCTTATAGTATCTCTTATGAACATCATAACAATGGGCCTCAGCCTGTAGTAACGAGAAACTTCTAGTTCGGTTTAAAAACTTGGAGAATTTCGCAAAACATGTTTACAGAACATTTGCAGAGTACCTACTGATGCGTATATTGAAACTTCACCAAAACATTTAAACTTACCAGCGAGCATAAGAGTTGGCGGCGATGCGATTTTCGCGTCTGACAGAAATCCAGAACCTAATTTGAACATCATATCACCTATACCAAAAATTGGCACCAAATATATCGCCTGCAGAGGAGCATAGTCATTTTTTAGTCATTCACGTTGACAAATATAACTTTTGTATCAATGTATACTACAGGCAAACAAGGCTATTTCAACTTATCCAGTGCTACTCTGAACAGTTCCATATGAACAACTGCGAACTAGATGTAGCACTCAACTAAAGAGATTCTCTTATTTCCGAAAAGAACACCTAATTGCCAGCCAACAAGGCTAATCAGAAATGCATAAACTGAGGTGCCAGCATCTATATAGTTAATGGACTTGAATATGTAACATAGGGGTGTGTATTGGTTTGGTTAATATTGCAGCATGAGGGCACATGACTAACTTGGAACTTACCCCTTCCGGTACTTCCCGATCATTGCTATAGTCGGCGGTCAACTGTAGAAAGGTCGCAAAACATTCAAATACGACGAGAAACGAAAACACATCGAAGAAGTATCGCAGATTGGTGAAAGTACGCCACGAAAAAGGTTTCGGCTCATCGCGCACAACAGGTTGGTCTGTGAGAAGGTTGTTTGAATCAACTGCAGACGACGCATTCTGGAGACATGGACCACATTATATCATATATGACCTATGATAAGTTGTTCATCATTGACACATAATCCTGTCGCTGTCGGAAGGTCGCATAGGGAAGCAGAGAATCTCTACTTCGTTGCAGCGTATAATACAAAACTTTGATAATGATATGTTCTGTAGCGCCAAGACAGAAAAGATTGTATTTGCTCGGCTAATAATTTTCTAATGAAATCAAGTGACATAAGGATGTGTTTTGATAAAAAAATCATTCATTTATAGTATTGATCCTATTATCGATATTGCGTCACTTATGAATAACTACCATCAGATGTTTTATTTCCTAAGCCAACTGTAGAAACTTATGAAATGACATCGAATAGGGTGATAGTATGTACCACCTGGCTTATTTCGGATGCATCCTTAGAAGTTTCAGTAGCATAAACTGTACTGGAGATTTCTTTAGGAAATTCCACGTGTTCGGTGTCCTCTTGCGTTCCGTTTCTAAAGCTGTCTTGCGTTTCCTGTTCGTTGAAGGGCGTGATGCAAAGGCTAAAAATAAAACTTGCGAAGGTGATCACTCCTAAAAGACTTATACTTCGAACTGTTCGGAATCTCCTGATGAAATTATCCATAAGCGCTGGCATGAAGAACACGCTCACACCCGCAATCGTTTCCTGCATACCTGGTAAATATACACGCAGGTGGCGTTATATAGTGGAAACATATTTCGGAACCTTTAAAATGATATATCTGTGAAGTGTGAGAAATATAGGTTTGTTTAGGTGGTTTTGCATGTTTCAAATTACCCCTAGTTCCTTACAGAAACTCACATGATGAGCTTAAAGTTTTGCTTAATAACTGTAATATAATAAATAAATAAATAAATAAATAAATAAATAAATAAATAAATAAATAAATAAATAAATAAATAAATAAATAAATAAATAAATAAATAAATAAATAAATAAATAAATAAATAATATAAATAAATACATAAATAAATAAATAAATAAATAAATAATAATAATAAAAACTTAACATTCCTATTTGCTAATCGGGTCTCGAAAGTTTTATTGAGATCATTATTGAACTTTACTGTTATTATTATTACGTGAAACGCTGACATCCTACTTAAGGACAAAAAATATTTACTTTCCTTTTGATCCATAATATTTGGTAAGAAAATAAAACATGCTTTGTTTGGGTTCCAATATTGCAAATGTGTATATAGCACCAGCATATAGCATAATATCAGCTAAATAATAATGAATATTTTTGCCTTGTTCCAGAGTAAAATCTCCTAAAGCTCCAATCCGCTGCACCACACGAATCGTAGTGCTGACAGGATTTGGCTTACTATTACGACCGGCCCCTGTTTTACCTGTGGCTGCCGCACGTTGCCTTTGGAAATGTCTTGCCATAAGAACATTAGCACTCATGAAAATTCCCGCAAGGCTTGAACCATGTATGGCCATAAGTACTGCAAAAAAATCCACGTGTCTAATTAATCCTGCTGGTAAAGCCTTCAATCTCGAGTTTTACGACACGCAACGCCTAGCTGTACACATTTTGATTTGACTACTGTGTGGCTAAATTACTGCTTTCAGTCCATGGATTTTAATGCGTTTTCTATCGAATCAAATTGTGAACTGCGAGAGAGTGACTTTACTTGTGCATGATGATACAGTGTACTGGAAACTTATAGGTTTAATTCAAACTTACTTGTTATAAAAACGATGGTTTTGGCAAAATAAGACAGGACCAAGGCGGCTGAAACTGTGAATGTACATATGCGGAGTATCCACTCATGGCGCGCGCCTAGATGTACCAGTATCGAAAACAATGGAGCTGAAAGTGTCTAAAGACGTGAATCACGTGCGGTCCGTAGAAGCCTTGCCACCTTTTGCATTGCGGGATTCACATGAATCACAAACAAATGTGACACCGTAATTCCTTGTATCAGAGAAAGTATAGTTATTTAGTCGTTCTCAAATGATGCTATTACTATCTATGGTAGTTTTCGAAATTAATAGCATTTCACTTACAAACAATCTGCATGCTACAAGTAATAGAGGTTACAGGCCACGAAGCTTTCTCACGTTCCGAACTGAAGTCGATAAGAAAACCTAAGATATCGAAACGGGGTTAATTTATGAGCTTGAATAGTAGCAGTCATCACAGGTATACAGCGCTGTGCTTAATAGGAACAAAACACCAAGCAGTGAAAATTTGATAGTCTCCAAAACCATTCATAATCCGGATGTATCAATCATATTTTACTATTATTATTATTATTATATCGTATGAAATTAGTGTACAACCTTTTATGTTAAGGTTTTTATTTTTACTTTAAGTTTTTGGATTGTATAAACATTTTAGCGATGCTGGAAGGTTGGTTAAAGGAAAAGCAAATATAGAACGTACCTGTGAACATGCTTCCCATAGCTGCCATTGAGAGTGAACAGAATAAGTGAACTAGGCCACAAAGCAGAGCGACCAGCCATGATTTTCGTGAGTCCAAACCGTGTTTGGGAAGTGAGATCATCTAGAAGGAAAAAAGCTGTCGACGTCGGTCCAATTTCACAGTGTTTTACAACGGAAAAAGCATAATACAGGAAAAAATAAAACGAGTTTAATGGCAAAAATTTGTCGACCATTAAACACCTAATAAATTTGTCCCTCTTTTTACAAGGCAGGTATTTGTTAAAAAGATATGAAAACAAAAATACAGTTTAATCTCTTATTTTTACTAGACGGAAAGCCTAGGTGCATGCTTGTTAGCTAACGCTGAATGCAAGCGCTTAAAGACAATAGCTTATTGTTTCCGCTTAGCTATTCCTACTTTACTTACTAGCCACGCGTCTAACAAGATAATTAATCACTGAAGGAAGAAATATTTAGCTTCAGGTAATGCGGCAGATCACAATTTTCACACATGTTTATATCATTAGGCTTTTTTCTGCTGTAGGTTTCCGCTGATTGAATAAAATATGAAATACACGTAAATCAGCCAGTTCTTTAAAAAACTAAACAAAGCAAAGCATTTTAAGGTAGTGGTAAAAATATAGATTTTCGCTGAAATGTAATAAAAGCTATGCCCCATTAATACATAGATATTTTAAGAAAAACTAAAATAATAATTACTAGATGATTATTTTAGAAAGGATTCGTTGGTATTCGCTATGCCCACGCCAAGCAATTCAATAACATGCTGAGCGTGAGCGATCTGGCCTAAAAGATGTGAAAAACATTTGAAAAAAGAAATAAAATATTCGAATATTTCAGCCTAAAAACAGACTAATATTTACTTTCGACCATGAATTGACGAAATCAAATATATGCTCTTGTAAACATAAAATATATATATTTACCGTATATTATTGTTTTTTTTGGACCGCTCACTCTCTACGGAATCCGCGCAGCGACCAAGTCTTTATGAAGTTCTGACTACCGCTGTGGCCATAACTGATCTAAAAGATTACCCTTCTTCTAGTTATAAACACGATATAATAATGTCAATAGAGTACCCACTGAAGTTTATCAAATTCAGTGTCGGCATCAATTTGTCTTGGGTCGAGATAACGACAATGACACACAATTAAAGTAATAAAAGTTGAAGCAAACTTTGAAGCCTGCCGGTTTAAGAACAGGCGGTGAAGGACATAAGTGGAGTACCGTTCCGTAACTTTCAAAAGTAACTAATTATGTGTTTCCTTGCTAAGCAGTTAACTAATCACTAGTTTTAAGAGTCCAGTGTGATGATTACCTAGGGAAACATTTCTATTGACTGTCCTGTATTAAACATTCTATTAAGTCAGGCAAACGTTGAGGAAAATATTAAAACACATGCAAATGTGTTTTCGTGTTTCATTTCCTGTGTCAATATAGGCACACAGCAAAGCTCTCTTTCTCTCTATGTGGAGAGAAAGATTTAAGTGGCATACAACTAAATATTATCAACACTATTAAGCATTAAACAACGGCGAAAACACTAGGCGAACTTGTTAGAGAGATACATCTAGTCTAAGTGCCCTCTTAATTTCATATAAAAACTTACTAGTCATAGATGGTCTACAACTATTTATTAAGAAATACAAACGCACAGGCATTGTCGAATCTCCATTTCCAATTTCTAATTCTTTCTATAAATATATATTTCGGTTTATTCATATGTGTGTTCAACGATTGCAGTAAAATCTAGTCCGGTATAGAACATTGGAAATAAATAGAAAGCTCTCAGAGTACAATATCAAAATCGGTGAGTGAATTCCTGATACCCTTGCGCTGATCTCAACAACGTCTACGTAATCTCATTCATCTCCCAGTGACATTTCGGCTACTCACCCTTGCGTGCCGATAGTTTCGCACGGGCGCCCTCTCACTTTGGTCCATTCCGCGTTACGCCACTTGGCAGGAAGTATGGATCCTTTTTTTTTTATCTATTAGCAGTAGAACTAGTGTCCTTATTGGTGGAAACCTCTATAACAGTTAGCGATTTTCCATTCCACGCTTCTTTTTGCTCGTCAATCAAAGGGTGAATTTGCCAGCTGATTCGAGAGTACTCACGATCATGAAAGGCTTCACTGGCCAAATGGCGCCGCGTAATCGCGAGCAATGCTAGTACAATTAGCAACCGCCAGATGGCCCCACTTGATTCGCATGTCAGTCAGTCAAGAAGCACTCGCTTCGAGAAGATACCCCCTCATCAGGGACGACGATAGCGAAAATCGCTACACTAAGCTAAAATAGGATAGTAAACTCAGCACGCCTTGCATCTAATAATTTTCGCCGCGGACCGAGTCTTATTGTCCGCAATGAAAAATTCAACATCCCGATAACGTACGATGCCCTTGTATCATTCAAATATTGCGCTCTTTTACCCATATATCCAGTGAACTCTCTCGGAACCTAAACCTGCATTCTTTCGCGTGATCGTACGACTGTGGCTGTCGTTAAGACTCCGACGGTGTTCGATACGATTAATAAGTAAAATATGTTTCTTTATATGAAACAAAGTTATGTAAAAGGAGGCTTGATACAAACACACAGAAGAATGCCCGTGCAAATATTGAAAAGCAACAAAAATCACTATATACATATATGTATATAAAAAAGTGCTATTCGCTCTTTTAAATGGGGGTTTGCTAAAGAGATGACAAAGCAGGGCAACCTGAGATCGAATCGTTCGTGCCGTCTATTCCTATCATTGAGCACGGGTGCTGAATGGGATTGCACTAGCGGTGTGTCTACATACTTAACGAATGTATGAATCTTCGTATAAACACGTTTGTCGTGGTAGAGATCGGCCGTCTGGTCCAGGGCTAACAAAATTACGAACGTGCGGCTTGATACAGTGGTTTAGTGCTAAGGCATACTTCTTGATGACACGCAATTTCAAATTGAAAATTTGGACCCAACAAAAATTAAGAACGTTTCTTTACCAATTGTAAGGAAAGAGTCATACAAGAAGTGACAAATATACTCACGATCTATTATCCCTCTTTTATCGAAGTTACTGTGCACGTTTTTTAAATAAAGAATTTTTTGAAAAAACGAATTATTTCTTTTTTTAGTACATATGTTGAATGGTAGTACCACATTTTTTAAATACGGAAGAATCATTCATAAATGACTGTGAATGACTGCCTTGTTGTCACTTTCAATCGTAGTGAAATAGAGTGAAGTTCGCTTTAGCCGAGATCAAAATATCGTTAAATGAACAATTGTTGGACCAAATTGTAATTAATAATAAAGACGCTTAATTTAAAAAGCTAAAGTAATCACACCTCCATATCTACTTGTCAAATTTAATTTGTGATATATAACATTGTTGTATCTTCTGATAAAAAAAAAAAGTACAATTTGATAAAAACAAACCTAATCACCAAATACAGCTTGCAGGAATTTATTTCCTCATGAAACCTAGAGAAACTTTAAACTATGTCTCATTGCATATTGAATTATTTTAGCAAGCAGTCCAATTAGAAAAAATAGCACGCTTTTAACTTCAAATTCGAAAGCAAATGAAGGCTTTGAATTTATATCGTTCTGCGTACACGTCACACCTTTATCAATGGATTTTCTAAGATCCATCAATTACGCTCCCAATCACAGTTTCTATAATATCTCGGACCTATATATATACTTTCTTTTTAGTTACTTTTTGGTACTATAACTGTTTTCATATCTTGTTTAACACTACCATCCGGTCACGGCTATTGTAGGAATGAAATGGCCGAGCCTTTCTGTTTCCAAGTTAACTATGTATTACATTCTGCATCATTCGCTTTCTTGTTTTGTCCTTCGACCTGATACAAGCGGCAAATATATGCATAATATACACGACATCATTCGACCAAGATCGGACAACGACTCCGCGAAAACGTTTTCTCTTCTGGTAAAGTTGTACATAAATTTCTTGCACCAATTCATCATCACTGTTTGCTACAATATTAGCGTAGCGTTCGAATTATCTAAACAACTGTGGGTTACGTAGTTAGCATCGCTGTTCGTATTAGAATGGACAAACAAGGATTTCGAGCTATCTAACTTAACGTATCTATGAGGTTTGTAGTATTTCTAAATAGATATGTTTATGCAATATAACTATATAATATTTCACAGCGTTAGCGTTATAATGCATGCCGATAAAACCAACTTAACGCCCTAGAAAATTGGTTCTCCAAAGGTCATAATTCGAAACACACAAACACAACGCCACAATATGATTTCTTCAAAATGTAAAGACATAGTGTTATCCTTATGACAATACGAAAACATACTATTTAATGTGTACATGCAGGCTACGCAGCGGTCTGTATGGAGCAAATCGACCTCGTTCAAGGCGTACGAACAGGCCGACTATGTGTTCTTTGACTAATTAGATGTGGACTTCAATTATAGACTAAACATATTTAGCACGACAAATTCCCTGAAGCAGCTGTGGACATCCGTGCAATAGATGCATACTTCAAAAGGTTTTTAATATTTGACCGTGCCTTTTTATCACGTCTGTACGCCTCTTTCTAGGCAAAATTTATATATACGCCGCGTATATACTGTCAAAAAATAAATAAATATCTGGCATGTATATGTGTATAGCAGATAAATTACCGGGTTATTAATCTTTATACATAAAGTAAGAGCGAAAAAACGCAGCAATTGAACGAGATAAAGGATGTGCTTCGTACCAACTTATCCCGTGTACGATTCGTCTGCGGGGTATATTCTACCAGATTTTATGTCGACTGCGTTAAGTCGTTTCTGACCTCTTGTTGATTGTAACAAAGTTAGCTTGTCTAAATATGCGGGCAGTAAAAAGCAGTTCTAAACTTTATTTTTTGGGCTGACATGTCGAGCAATGGAAAGAAAACGAAATGCTCGCAACTTGTATTGTCCAATTAAGCTGAACTGATGTCTGTTCCTTGCGCCTTCCAGTTTCAGTTTGCCAAGTGTCCAAACAGACCTAATTGATCAACGGTATCATTCAAGTAAAAGACCTTTGATTATCCTACAGACAAGCGGCTTTTTTAACGATATCCCTCTATGTCTCTATTATCAGGGTAGATATTCGTTCTGGTAAACTTTGTCTAAGTCATTCGTCGATGACGTCTTCATTTTAGTGACCTTGCGTTGCTTCTCGTTGACCAGAAAAAGAAGTATCTATTCGAGAAGATCTTCTGCTTCTTCTTCCATACGTTGACGGGCAGCTGTGATGCGGACCCTGAATTGAAACGCGAAGTAGCTAACAACCGATACCTGTGAAAATTACAAAATTATGCACACTTAATTCACACTTTTTTTTACCTTTGAACTTAGGGTCGCTTTTCCCTGAATCAATAAGAACTCTAGATTTCATTTTTTCCTTTAAATCCCGCTAGTGACACATAAATGTTATACAATTTATGTGAAAAAAAAAGAAACAGTTTTTTAAATCAGTCTCTAATTATCACCGTTCCGTGGCTGGGGTACCGTTACGTCAATAGGAATTATCCTTATAGTACGCCTTAGTGATATCGGACGGTAATTTTGAACTATCTATGAATCGTCGTGAGTTGTACCATAATGAAAAGCCACGAAAGCCAATAGTAGCCAAACCCGAACGCTGTCATTTTATAATCGAATCGTCTGAGGAGAGCGGTAGCTCGTGTCTGAACACAATCGCCAACAGGCGCGTCATAGTCGCATGGCCTAATTACCGTCCCTGAAAACCGAAAGCAAAGAAATTACATAATAGATGACAATGCGTTTTTCAAATTCCTGTTTAATCTAATAATCACAAATTCCTGAAGTCTTTAGTTTATACACGATTTAGTTCTACCATTCTGACTTCATTACATGCGTAGTTTAAAATAACCGAACAAGAAACGAAATTTACCGAGATTTTGCATTTGAATAAGCTTCAGTGCAATTGTTTCTAAAATATTGCAAAAGTACGGACTATAAAACCGTTGCAAAAAGAAGAAATCTGTTAGTATTCAATTATACTAACATCAGATAAAAAAACTCTGTACAGAATATCAGCACACCATTTAGCTGCTGTAAGTCATATCATACCACCGTAAATATAGTGCTGGTTGCCGAACGAAGTGTACTCGGGGGACACTGAGTAGATCAGAATCTGAAGACCAAACACGCACAGGATAAGTACAGACGAAAGCATAACAAGAGCCTGGGGTACAGTCCTTCCACGCCGGATTGAGTATGCTCGGAAACACAACGCGCAAACTCCAAAACGTTGCAACGCATAAGTGCAACACACGAACAAGTAGCAAACCATTGTCACGAATAGAATATAATCCAGTGGATAGATCTGCTCAGTAACAAATGGAACAAAATACGTTATGCAAATCATCAGTATTATTATCATCGTAATTACCGTTAATATTGCTATATGTATGATTCGTTTCGAAATAGATAAGTGGCAATATCTAAATAAACTATTGATTCATAAACTGATTTTGTTTTTGATTCCCTGTTTTGCTAGGATAAGTACATATCATGACGGATTTGCTATAGCAATGTTATTCCTGAATCAAAAAGATGACCGATTTAGATACGGACCTGTTGACATTGAAGAAGTACGTAATCGATCGGGTTTGGTAAATTTTGTTTTTTTGGGATATACCCAGAATCGACGCTTGAGTTCAACACTTTGTCAACGTTAGATAGCAGTAATGAGATAAGGACCAGGAACGATAATAAGAGGCCTCCAAGGCCGAGTATTATTTGGACAGTCCGAATCGGAGTACGCAGGCGGTAATACCAAGTTGATTGAAATTCTTGTAGATTTCTGTAAATGAACAACATTATAGAACGATGGATTAGTTACTAGCTTCGTTACTACATGCCGAAAAATTATTCCAATAGAATTATACATATATGATATGATAAATTGGAAATAGATCCGAAAGTAAAGCAAATCGATCAACTATATGAATGCAAGTAATACTATTTACGTTATAATGTGTGTCTATAAATGTTTGTTCCGATTTTAACATGCCTCTCATGCCGCATACTGTCGGCCTCTTGTTGTTGCAGCACTGTCAGAACTTGGTAATCTTCCTGTCCTGCATTGCCCATTTGTGCACGTGCTCTAAGTAGAGAAATTCGTGCTTTAAGGTTCTCAAGATGCTCTTGAATGGCAGCGCGCTCCCGGGCAGCGGATGCCAGTCCACGTATCAAGGACAGTGGGAATGCCATCATTCCTAATCCCTTTAAACAAACAGGAAAACGGCAGTAAGCTTCCTAAGCATATTACGCATTTCGCATTGAAAAACCTTACCTAGCTGAGTAAAAATTATACGCGTTCCAACTCGTTCTTTTCTATTAGCAATCGCTAATGTATACACTATTCCGATTTGTGAGTAATACCTTCAGCCGAACTATCAATCTCGCCAAAGTTCCATGTAAACTAGCCAAATTTATTTTGCGTAGCTTCACTGATATCTTTGGTTCGTAATGAACGTTTAACCACTAGTTGTGTAATTATTGTTGAAAGGGTAAATTTTCAATCTAAGACATAAAAACCGTCAGTATGAATATGCGATACATACAAGATACATCACTAACATGCACATGCCGATGACCGACACAAATGAGAAAGCGAAACCGAACATGTCCTTCTTTTTGTTCTCCTTGAACTCGCGAATGAGCCACTCCCATTCCGTAGAGTTGTCATTTGGCTCTCGCATTGGAATCACCGCACCTATTTAGTGACGAAGGGAACAATTTCGATAAGATACAGTTAGTGTTGTGCTTATTAATCAACCCGTCAAGCTAAGCACGAGTTGCGCTAGATCCCGTTAACTGAGTGCTAGGAAGTGTTCCATGTGGTTGAGAATGTGGGCGGCGATGTAGTTTTTCGAGTACCAAAAATTATAACGAATAAATGATACACACCAACTGTGAGCATAACTCCGAAAGCCAGCGGGAACACCAACGTGAACAAAATCGCTCGTCCAATTCGAGATCCAACAGATGCTTCAAGAAGTAGATTTGCTGAATCTTCTGAATAGAAATAGACAAACGGCAATATCACGAAGAGGTGGACCAATACGATCGAGTAGAACACTGTCGAAAGTAAGAACAACATTAGAAAAAAATGGACGTCAAATAAACATCACTTGCAAGATAATCATTTATGCAAACAGCAAGTTGAACATACACACACAAATCGTCCAAAAGATGTTCACAGTATTTACCTCAATCCAGTTCTCAGCAAAAAATCAGGTAATTAATAAATAAACATCAGCAAACCGTTACTGAGGCGCTGTGAGGCAAGTTCGTGCGTACCGAAATAGGTATCCTCAAGTGTGTCTTCTACATCCTGTAACAGGCTGCCGTTCTTAGCCCAGTCAGCCCAGGTTCCATTGGGTAATTTGGCATAGGAGGCGAAAAACACGTCCAGAGGGATGAGTAGCATGGTCAACAACGAGAACGTCAGACCGGAAATGATTGCGACGTGTGAGGCCCAGTTACTTCGAATGGTGCATGCATATCGGCGTGTGTAGAACCATGCCATACATATCGTGAACTAATGGAACAGAAAGAGAGTAGCTTAATACTACAAGTCCGTCCTTGGCGACCTTGCATTTAGCATATTCTACACGAAACGAAGCACTGGTCAGCGAGTTTAATTTGTGAGTAGGATTATTGTCAATAACTACTGATGTTTTATTTGTGTGTGACGCCTGATGAGGCGCTACAACATGCCTAGTCTAACAGTAGTTTACCTGTTCAGATTTTAAATATCTCAAGTGCCGTTTATTAAACACATTTAGAAAACCCTTAGTGAAATATGTTGTATTTGTTGTGAATGAATCGTCAATTGCATGATCAATGAATGTGTCGAGTCTGTTTACCATCTTTTTTGAAATTAAAGAAGCATTACCCATGAAGATCTCTCTGAAAAGTGTCCTCGAACCAAGAGTTATAAGCACCGAAAGACGTACTATTCGGACTGATTTAAGTGGTGCCTAGTTTTAATCCAAAAGGACCACTTCGAACAAGGTTAGATTAAATACTTGTACATCTGGGTTACTCAGGAAATTATTGGCCGCATTCTCGGTTTTCAAACAAAACAATTACCTCCCAACAACTTGACGGTTTTATTAATATTTATGTGATATGATTATATCGTGTAAAATGAACCGAACCTAATAGGTTTTTTGGTCCTTGGCCGGGGCGCCTCACAGCTTCCGGTTGAGTCTCTTGAACGCTGTTACAGCAGTTACAAGATGCGTGCACTCGGTCTCGTAGCCGTGCAACGTACATGTATTCCTTTGATATTGTTTGGCATATGGCAGCATTTTTTTTACAAGAGATATTTTTCTACCGAGTCAGGTCTTTAGCGATCTGATTTCTACAAGCATAGCCGTCATATTCGCTATATAGATAGATATTTTCTTGCTGGACAGGCTTGTGAAAAAAACGTTCTGGACTGATATCCAAATTCGTACACGCTACCTACGCCAAGCCGATGTCGCCTCAGCCGTCGCCGGGACAGGAAACTACACTCGGACCGAAGGCCCGATATTGCTTGGATCATAGCTCAATGTAAGGTCCGTTGCCCCGTCTTCAAAACCACTAGAAACTTAACAACCTTTACCGCTTCAAACTCTTTCTTGTAGTGACTACCTAATTTAACGAAAATTTTAGCTTCCACCCTTAAATACGCAGCAGGAATTCCTTTCTGCTTCCAATCAAATAAGGAAATTAATTATAGTGATCTTGTACGTATGTAGATGATAAACAAATCAACTGTAAGCTTATCAGGCAAAAGTACCCAAGAAATGTCCTCTAAAAGATCAGATCGCATGCGCATGCGATTTTAAAGACGTCTACAATGGTATCTTTGATTATTTGTTCGCCGTCATTGTCGTCAGGAGCCCATTATATTGCTTCACAACAAATGTCAGTGAATGAACGTAAAGAAATAACTGAAAAGCAAAGTAACACAGTTGCTATCTTAGGTCCTACGTATCGATGACTAATTTTGATTATTTTTGATTGTTTGGTACCGGCCATTTTTATCAGGCGTCTTCGTCATTTAAGGCCTCTTGTGAATTGCAAGAAGAACGAAAAGACACAGCTTAAAACGGCCGCTTGAATAAACCTAACAGCAAATTGGATATTTACATACAAATACAAATAGAAGGGTGGGTACAAAATAAGATCGAGTTAAAGATCGTATTAGTGCATTGCTGATTACTGGGGATATGACATCAATGTTTTCAAATGATAGAGTTGCAACGATATGTACATACTATTTGTAAAAAAATTATTACGATCTAGGTTCGGTGCGTAAGAGTTACACAACGAATATTTGAAGTATGTGATGAATTATTCGCTTTTTGAAATGCCACTTTTTTAGGCTCCATTCTATCTATCATTGCTTGATCTTCCCAATACAATCTCTGTCATCACTTAGTTTTCTCCGCCAGTTTCTCTTCTGCGTTTTCTTTATATAAAGCCAAAACAGGTAAAACTAGCCTGAATAGACTGACGTATCTAAATGCTTACCGCTGCAGTAAGTATTAGCGGTATATAACCGCTAAAAACAACGATGAGGGTCCAATTACGTGCCATCTTCGCGCTGGGGCGAATTTGGTAGAATCGTCGTCAGCTAGTCCACCAGTTCTCGTGCGACAGGCAAAAGTCCCTAAAATAATTTTATAAAATCCTTGCGTCTGCGCAATAGGAGTTGTCTTCAGCTTCACTCGTCAATCGCTCTCATGTGGGTAAAGTAAAACATATGCAATCGTTTCGGCCTTGGGGAGAGGAGAGGATATCGTCTGCGATAGATGGACGATACTTACCATGTCGGCCCCTGTGTATTCTGCTTTTTTGTTGTTTGAGTTCAACTGGCAGGTTGGTGTGTGTTGATATGAAGTATGAAATTATACAATTGAATTCTTCACAGCATTGTGCTTATCAAAGGGCCATAAGATCTGAGTCACGTAACTGTAAATATGTTAATTTTGTGAATCATTGCGTTTTAATAAATCATTCAGTTGAAAATCGAGTAGGTTTATTAACCTGGTCTATATGTGGACGATATGTTTGAGACTGTAGTTACGCCGATATTACTGGCGGTACCCGGATGACGCGGGCGCACTCTCGTTGCATACACGACATCAAAGCCAAAATTTTGCTCAGCGAATATTGAGTTAACTTGAAGCATTTATTATCAATGCATATATCTTGCAAGTAATTTTCTAAGCTAACTGACTTATTTTTATTTCGTTCCAGCACCCGGAAGTTGACAGCAAAGAAAATTTGTTTGGATGTTAGCAGTGGTTGGATCTGTTTATTGTGCTGGATTGAACGTTGTGAGGCAAGTTTGTTTTTAATGTTTTGACCAAAACGTGAATCGCATTATACAGAAATTGCATCAATCTACAGCCGTTGCTGGCGGAATTCATTTGTAAGTTACTTATGAGTCGAATTAAATGTGGTTTTGTATTCTAGATGGTGTAAAACGTACTGAAATTGTTTCCGGTGGTGAGTCAATCAGGTGGAAGTTGTCCGAAGTGTGGGATAAACGACACCAAATGCCAAAGGCGCGAGATTTGTTCAGTATTGTTGAAGTCGCGCGCAAACCTCTCTCTTTCTACAAGAACAAGCGAGTAATATCGAAGAAGTCGTAAAAATCGAAGATATGTTGATTTGTTATGGTGTCGTGTGGGAGCGGACTGCACCTTAAAATATATGGTTAACACGTTCTCATTATGTTTATTTCTCAATTATTAATACAATTTAAATTCGAACGTCTTAAAAACGCAAAGCAATCTTGGGTTGATTTTTCATAGCAGACGTTGTAGATAATTATAAGAAGTGGTAGATACTACATCTTTGACCCAAGTTGCGTCTGCAGAAGTTCAGATTCAATTTTATCTCGAGCTTCTTTCATCTGGAATTAACAGGCTTCCCCTCAAAGATAAATGGGCATTCATCAGTTTATCACGCATTTTTACGTTCTAGTCTTCGCTCAACGTAGCCACTCCGTGCATTGTGTCATATTAAGTATGCCATTAATGTTGTTTCAAATAACTTTGTTCTTTATCCAGACAAGTGTATGTACTTGCCATTGGCAAGATCTTGAGGCGGCAATGTCTGCGGTCTTTATTGATACAGGGCTTAGCCGTCAAATCAGCGCGTCGACGGCAACATTTGCAGCTTACTTTCTGTAATCTGCATCAGCGCGACAATTACTCAATTTGCTCTCCTTTGATTACCATTGTCATAATGTCGATTACAATAATTGACCCGGACTCCGTCGTAATTAGCGATTGCAGAACGAGACGTTAAACATTTTTTTTCACAAAAACAAGATATAAGCAGCAAGGTTCAAACATTCTACGGCAGTCAATCCATGACTTGTACATTTCGCAATCTGAACTGAATTTCTACCCAAACTTAGGCGCCCTTCAAATAGGAATAAAATACACCGATAAATTCTCCCCAGTAATTTCGGTACCTATTACAATACCGCTATGCGAAATCAAGTGACAAGAAAGTGGACACTAGATCTGTGCGATAACAAAATTCTGCACTTGAAGTCTATAAGGAAGTTTTCTATACGCCTATTACAGTTCAAGTAGACTTCAAAAGGCGGAAGTTGCGCGGTTCCGCCTAAGACTGAAAAATGAAAGCATGGCCTTGTAGGACAGTCTAATATAATTGCGAATTGAATTTCGTCTGTATATACAAGTACGCCTGGTAGAACAACACCTTCATCTATAGTAACGGCCCCACTAATTAGGCATAAAATGACAACCGACGTACATTTTTTAGGTATCTCATATATTTCTTCAAACAAATCTGGTGTGTTACATGAAAACAGTAAGTTCAGTGACCAGACTTCAAACTATACACGATTTTGCACCGAATGATTCTTATAATGTGTTTTTTGAATCTTCCAATTCAAATACAGGTCCAAGATTGGGGACCATCTGGAAATGAGTGGAAGTGGCGCGTCAAACATCGGCGGAGGAAGCGGCGATGGAATTCGCAGCTGCTGCATACCTGGATGTTGTTCCAGAGGCTTCAAGGATGGCGAAAAGCTCTGTCTGTTCCCAAATGCGGCTGATAGACGACTTGCTTGGATTGAACGAATTCGGTATGGAAAAATTTGCTTGCAATGTGTTAAAGGTTGTTCGTAGTCTACTCGGTAATAACTGGGTGTCAGGGTCTGCGGTTCGGGATTTCTTGCGTGCTGAGCGTGCTCTGTCCAATATCAAGTTTCTGCGGAATTTGCTAGCATTTGCTTGTCAAGTACAAAAGGTACGCACCATAGGGTTGACCAAGGTCAAAATATATTTCCTATCACCTATTCGTTGGTAGCTTATATTTTATTTAACATGAGTTAATCTTCAATTCTGTCCGTTAGGGCTAGCGGTCTGGTGGAGCCGACTTGGATGCCCACTGCTTCGACTTTCGTTTGTCAAGCTCACTTTGACAAAACATGCTTTATCCGGAATGTACCTAACGGACCACTTAAAATGGCCAAAACAACCGTGCCAAGCATATTCAACGTTGATAACAGCAATTCAACACCCGCGAATGTTAAGACATCAGGAAAGGTTGGTTCATCAGTGATAGAAGTGTGACGACTGCAAAATTTTGTAAAACAGCAGTACAAACACAAATATATCAGTGTCCGTAGTAGTGTGATTCGGTAACGCACTTTATTCAAATGGCAGCTATTATGGCCATTGTAAAACTGTAAGCTTGAGCCGGTCTCGGGAAAATAAGCTTTTTTTTGACCATTTGAACTGACCAAAACATTATGAAACATGGTTTCTCAAAACTATAAGCTTTGTTGTGTAACAATATAATTTGATATATGATTGTTAGTTGCAGCCAACCGTGTCAATCATTCAGACACGCCGCGCAGCTGGTATTACGCCGAAACCACGAGTCATGTTTGAAGCTGACCCGACTCCAGCAACTCGACGGCCTCGGGAAATTCCCTCAGCGGGACACACATTCAAGCCTGTCATTGCTAGAGCAACGACGGGACCGGCAGCAGTAACTGAGTTCAATTCCATCTCAACTGTTCGTACGTATGGGGCTGAAGTCTCAAAGTGGACGTTCGCCTATTTGCTGTTTATTCAGAGGAATTTTCATACACAGGATTCCTTTTACCTCTAATAATTGTTCTTCCAAGCAGATTAAAAGCAATCTAGCAACATGAAAAGTAGTTGTGCGAATTACCTGAATTTAGATTATTATACATTTGCCGTATTTGTTTTTTTAACAACGCATATTTCTCGAATTGAGAAAGGCTATGGGTTTGAGAGCTACTATTAACTCATTATTGCTTCTTATTCAATCATTCATCATTGTTGTCTGTGGATTATTACCATAGTTTACACATTCGTCAGCTAAAGTGAATCACATCAAGTGTTTCAAACTATACTTTACTGCTATTCCATGCATAACAGAAAGTGGCTTTCCACCACCAAAGACCACATCTGTGGTCGTTATTGCCACAGACCATAAAGCCACTGGAGTAAAACGGATTCTTCCACTGACAAATCATCCGCCACCAACGAAGAAGGGCGCGTTACTAGTTCATTGTTCAAATTGTGCACAACTGCAAGAGAAGCTAAACCAAAAGAGCGGCGTCATCCGCGAGCTCGAAGTGAGCATCAGTGACCTCAAGCAAGAATTGTCAAAGTTAGACAACACTCGTGAGGCAGCCACGAGCAAGATTGACAGGCTTAAGGAAAGCCTTAAGGATATCTACACCGAACATCAGTTGGCAAGATTATCCGATGGAACGACACGAGGACGCCCATGGGACATGGAGACAGTTCGCAGAGCGGCTAAACTGGTACTCGCTTGCGGACGAACCGGCTATCAAGAGATACTCAATCAGGGACAACCATTTCCATCGCTAAAGACTTTGAACAGGTGCTGTAGTTAACAGCTGTCCATGAGTTTATTATGAGAAATATTACATCAAGGAACTATCTATTTTTAATTTTCATAGAAGTGTGCTTAGAATACGAATAGATTTAGCGTTTTTATAATAGATCGACAAAAGTTTAAAACCCTATAATTAAAGAGAGTGATTATTGAATCACCCGAAAACGGTGTCAAACTATTGATTACCGACAGCAATTTGATCTCGAAATATTCTTGACGTTATTTTGTTAACTTTAAGGTTACTCTATAAACGTCGATATCTACCGTCAACGTTGGACAATCCTGAGCCATCAATTGCGGAAGAACTCAATGAGGAAATGTCAAACACTGATCCAGAAGAGGAGAGCGATGGTAGCACTGAGGAAATTGAGGAGAATTTAATTACCGTACGTATCTGTCGATATATATATATATATATATATATATATATATGAAAAAGGCAGGAATAAAATCTCAGCAAAATATTGGTTAGGTTAATAGTGCTCCAGTATTGTTTTTATTATTTTCCAGTACGATATTACTCGCAGATAGTCTAGAAAATATCCGGCGAAAAATATTCCGAATACACAAACTTCGAGATCATCCATTATTAACTACCAACGCACCATTGATTTTTAGGGTGAAGAAGGCCGAATATTAAAAAAGAGTCGAAAAACTCGAAAGATGCGCAGTGTTATGCAAAAGTTCACTGAGGCAGCGCAGGCGCATGGCATACAAGGTAGGCTACAAAAGAAAAGTATGTACAAAACGCTAATATCGAAATACATTAAATATTAACAAGAATTATTATTATAGTTGGACATCATTTGGAAACAATTGCTGCCGCCGGTGAGGAGACCACTATGCTGGAAGGAGTCGCCGTTGACGGCCTCAATGGTCAACTCTTGCAGTTGCATTCGATGGAACCAGGTCAGCAACAGCACGTTGCAGGTCAGGAAATCCCGCCAGGCGAAGAAGGAGCGCCTGATGGTTCGGCCGTTGCACTGGTCTCGCACTATGGCCAACTTACAGTCATACAGGTCAGATCCAAACAACAGTATTTTTCAAATCAATAGTTGACCTATTTTATATTGCCCTACACTTTTTTCACTAGTAACTTACTAACTGAATAAACATCTTTTTGCCTACATTATTATCTTCTAGGATCAAACAACAGCTGCACAAGCTATCACGGGCGCTGTAATTGAAGACATTTTGAGAGCGCAAAATCTGACTGCTGCAGAAGTCAAAGAGATCCGCGTGGAGGGCTCATATATCACCATTGTGAAACACAACGACGGGACACAAATTGATCAAGAACAGCACATGGAGCAGGTTTCTGATGGAGCATCTCACCATCATGTCTCAACTGAAGAAGCGCAACAGCTTATTGCCCAAGGCATTATGGAATAATTCAATTCCAATAAAGACTAGGTTATGAAATATTGTAACGAGATAAAATGTAGTAAAAATGAAGAGCTAAAGGGAACAAACATCTTTCAGCTTCGTTATATATATTTGGAAATTTATGGGCGACTAATTAAGAATCGAAGCAGACTACACAAACGATAACTGCGAGTTGTGTTTGGATCTAAGATTATTTTATTTGAAAGCTGTTACTTTTGGTTCTAGGTAAACGATTTATTTTACGATAAATAAGGCGATACACGCGTCTTTACTATACTTATTCATCACAGAACTGCTTTATATATATATATATATATATATATATATATAACGGATTAATGCTAAATGAATTCGACAATTTAAATCGAATTTGTTATCGATATAAGGATTAAAATAAAGGGTAAAAGGCTAAAAGAAAGCATATTTAGTCACCTCTGTTGTGGTTTATCACCTCAACTGGCTATGATAATGAATAACCAATCACAGGATCTATTTTAGCAGATGTAGGGAGAGTCTTTACAGATTTTGTCTTTTAAATTTATTTTAAACAACACTTTAGTCTTCTGAGATACTTTTTTAGATTCCCATTCAAGGTCTGCCGATTGGTCAATTATTATTGTTTCACGGCGTTGTTAGTTATTATTCATTGGTGTTCTAAATGGCAATTTTGCCAAGCTACCCTAAGCAATCATTATAGCATCAAACACGACCGCGATTGAGGAAACCTGGCCCAGTTAACACCACAGATACGAATTGATTTAGTAAAAGCTAACGTCGGTTTATTGCGTTGTGTATGCATCGGTTAGGTTATGAAGGGCTAAACCACTCCGAGGAGAGCGAAGGTCTTACTGGAGATCTCTTGTTTACGACTATTGTCTATATGTTTCGGCGTTAGTTAATGTTATTCAACTTGGCTCTAGTGTCTTTAGTGCATTCGTTACTAATGAAATATTACTGTGTAATAATACATTGATGAAGAGAACTAGGCAGCAATGCAGGAGACTGGCCATTCTATAGACTTTGCTTATATCGAGTTATATGTAAGAGTCCTTTGCCTCACGGACAAATTTGATTTGCAAGATTTTATTACTCCGTGAATAAGCTCATATCAATAAAAAATGATGTTTTTTTGTGTTTTACGTCCAGTATTTATGCCAATAAGAATAACCTCAGGCGGCTAGCTTCCAGCATAAAATTTGTCTACTCAGGCGGCTCGAACCTAGACTACCACGTATTCCCATATCTAGAAGGCGAACACGTCCTCTCCTGTGCCATCACGAGAACTATCTACTAGTTTTACATCACTGCGGACGAAGAATACTCTTAAATGAAAACAAAATTTTGTAAGAGACCGAAAGATATCTTTGAAACAATGTTATATATGTATATTCATATAGAAATAATTTTCTTTGTAAAAATAAAGGTTATGTGAATATGGACTACTCATGAAATTTTAAGAATATAGTAGTATATAATAATATAGCCATAAGTAACTCTATTAGATAGCATAGCTGGCGTTATCACTTCGATGTTGTGGTTGTAAAGGCATTTCCATATCAACTTAAATCGTGGTTACAAGTAAAAATGCTTACTCTATCGTACAAGTACGGTGTCACTTACTTTAAGAACGTAAGTCCACTCAGAATGAATTTTATTGACAAAACTATCCGCCAAGCCGAGTACAACAAGCAAAACACAATGTAAAACTGAACAAACTTTTTATTCCTTCGCGATGAATTGCATATTATATAGAAACAGCTAACGCTGATTATCAAAGATCACCACTGCTAAATCAAATTGAGTGACCATTATGAGATACTGTTCATCCATCTCAGATGCATGGGTTTGGCAATCTCTCTACCTTCCAATTTAACTCGCTCGAATTTCTTGTTTACCACTAATCTCTCTGGATCAACTTCAAAGTTTGAATGTTTTCTAAATTCACCCGAGTGGTTTAGGTAAGAATTTGTGTATACGCCGGGTGTTGGTAAGCCGTCGGGAAATGTAACCTGCCAAGAAAAACAAATGATTATTACCCTACAGTGCTAATAAGAAGACGCGTCCATCTGGAAAGCATAAACGGGTACGCGTCATAGGAACATGGAGATCGTCGAGAGCAATTAACTCAGCTGTAAAAGAAACTATTTCTAATTTATTGCAAATACTTCGCTGCAAAGCAATGAGACTCAGCTAATTTAGACAAATCTAAGCACAACCAAAGTAAACATTTTATGAAAACCAAAATAATTACAGTTACTAGGTTGAAAATAATGTATCTAACGGCGGGCACGAGCAAGGTTCATGTCTGCTTGCCTTTCAAATTTTAATATAATAAAATGGTTATCGTCCCATTACAATTTTTAACATACCGGCTTAACTCGAACAAGATGTTTGACTCGCCAAAGCATTCTACACATCTGTGGAGTGTTTTTTACTACAACGTACGTCCCGACCTGAAATGTATTAGAGATATTTGTCCGTCATAAAGAAAATCCACAATATACAATCTTGCATAGCGCATTTCATGTGCCACTATTAAATGCTTCACTGTCAGCCGAATAATAGATTTACGCAAAAAATCGCGACACATAAAATAACGACTTTGGAAACACAAGAGTCATAAAAACCTATGTAAGTCCTGAGCATACGTATGTCCCTCTGGCTAGTATAATCTTTGTCATCGATTTTCCCGCTGAGTCGTCCTATTCCTGCCATTTCGTACAGCCTAAACAGTGTACCAAGAAAATTGTCTTACCCCCTTTCGCATGTTCATTTTCTTTTCATGTTTGCTCTCTTCAAGGCCTAAAATGCGGACAATATCTTTCTCCCAATAGGGACGTAACGCCGAAGACTTTACGAGCTGCACAACGAACAGCTTCGATGGTTCTATCTTGTCAGCATTTGCTCGAATCTCACGAACCTAGAACAAACGTGTTTATCGTTTATACGGTGTTCTGCTAATTAAGTGAGCATATACAAAGAGGCTACTATATAATATAATATATAATTAACCCACCGATGCATTAAACCGTCGATATAAAAAAAGAACATAATGAGATAATGAATTATATGCTTCTTCGGTAATAAAAAGAGCTATCGTACGAGAAAAGTCTCGCTTTATTGATACGAATTCCTTTAATGGGTTCAAACCAGCGCCGTTCCAAACTTATCGTACAGGCTACCGAGCTTTAATTTGTTCAGCCAGAACCTATCCGAATAACATTATTATGACTCATCGATGTTTTTCGATTCAATAAGTTTTAATAAATCTCTTCAGTATCTTCATCACTTAACGTAATAAGTCCTTTACCACAGATTTAGCGTGCTTTATCTAAGTTGATTGATCAATCATAAGACATGTGTAGTTGCGTGAGTTGAAAATGACCAGAATATGTATATTCTCGCACGCTATTCTTCCGGACAGTATTTAGTGCATTTGCCCAAAGATGTTGCATAAAAAATATAAGTATTCTGTATCGTCGTTAACGAAAAGCGCTTGCTCAGCGAAACCTCTCTATACAAAAGCCGTGATTTTCTTAGTTAGTTACACCATGTGTGTATTAACACGAAATTACTATACATTTAAATAAACTAGGAACGAACCTTATCAAAGATTTCATTTCTGGTGCGGGCAAAGGTATCAACGCTAATGTGTCGCCCTTGTGTCTGTACAACGTAGGCCATAAACCGACGAACAATATTCATTATGAACTATTTTAGCTCAACTTTAAGGTCTATGTAACTTGAACAAATAAGGATAGATAGCCTGAGCGAATGCGAGCTAAAACATAGCTAACTTAATCGTTCTTATGTGGCTCGCGCACCCACACGCATTCACCAGGCTGGAGTTGCTGTTTATATTGTTGTGCAGTGTGTTCCGAATATGAATGAATGAATTTAAAACTCGATAACGGGCGATTCAATCTACCTAAATATATATATAGCTTTATACTTCCCCCAACACCGTCATGCCCAGTAAGATATTCGCTCGTTATAAATAAAGCTAAATAACGCATGACTAGAGCTAAATAGTAATAGGAATCTTTGACAATATAATCTCGTTGTATTATGTTGATCTAATTATCTAAATAAACGGCGTATTATTTTATTGACTATTTTTATATGAAACATGCCCATACACAAGTAGTAAATGTATAGACAAAGCAATACTGTCAAAGGACAAAGTACTTTCTAATATTTTTTTGAATTTGCGACTAACGAATAAGTGCATAATTTTATTGAATGACTGACTTTTAGGCATTTTTATTTTTAACAATTTGTATATCTGACTGTTTAAAATATTCGCGATGTTACACTTCTTCGAGTGAGAATAGCCAGCATCCTTGCTGGGGCCCTAATGAGCACGATGCTTTACAACCAATTTCAACATTTTACAAAAAATAATCTGAGGATATTTCCACATACAAAAAGACTTCTTATGCATTCTTTTTGACTTTGATCTAATTCAAAATAGCTTCCTTCGCGCTGTATTATAAACGGATAGCAGGCTTCTTTAAAGACTAAGATAGCCTAAAAGGATTGCTTAGCGTCAGCTGAAGACCAAGGATTTCATGTATCGATACCCAGCCTTTCGTTGGAATTGAGATTCAATAGTTTAGGTCATTTGGGAAAACTTTTGGAATATGTACTAGTTGGAAAAAATAATTTAAAGAAATGCATTATAGAAGAAGAAATGCATGCCTTTGCAAATTATCTAATTATATACAAAGCAATACGCGTTATATTGTTTCGAGTATTAGAAAAAATAAGCATGGGCTCAAACACGTTTTAGAGCATCGGAAAAAGTGTTGAATCGGAAGATCCACGATTACAATTCACAAGTTTGAATTTTGACGATGTTTTAAGAATGAACACAAACGGCCTTTTGATGTTAATTTCGAAATTAACAACAGCAAATTAGATAGATCATATTTAATATGGTTCTGTACATCGCAATCTTATATCTTCTCAGTTAGAAAACTTCGAAAGAGTCTTTCCAAGTAACTAATTCTATTTAATGGTATATTCATCGGTGTCCAGAAATTGTGCTGATGCTATTTTTTAGATGCTTTGGCTACAAATGTTTTGTTTATAATAATATTTTGAATAAGCCCTATGTCCATCTGTGTCGGTTTTAAATTTTATCGTAAATAAATATTAACTGAATTAGTTTTTTTAACTGACGGCCATCTTTTTAACTTAAAATATTCTGTTTAATCGAACTCAACAATATTTAAAATTACCCAACAAATACTGTTCCTCTGCTGAGACAAGCATCCGAGTTAGCGATCGCATTGTCATTCGGTCGCATTGTCCACCAAGGGGTGTTGATCGAGATTTTGGAAATGGTTGTTCACTGTATTTTTTCTTTGTTTTGTAAATTCATATTTGAATAGTGGCATTGACTTTAAAATAAAAAAAAAAAAAAAAGAGGAACAATTGATTCCACAGAAGCCATACTGAACCAGATTCAATGTGCCAACCAGTAGTTGATAGCCTTTAAAGTATTTTTTATTCTTATTACATTTATATGTATATTTATGCTTGAATATACACTTTCAAAACACTGAGGATTGGGTACGGAATACGATTTTTGGGAAGAGTCAAGCTTTGCTGAATTTGTCATGAAGTTGCTAAATTCTCTGAACATCCTGTAACGGTACCACTGATCGCGGTTAAAGCTACTGTATTAAGTAGTTTTGCGTGTCGCGATGGTGTTTTTTGCGGTTGTACAATATTCAATATTAGTCTCACTAACTCCTGATTTGTAAGCGATGTCAACTGGCACTGCCGTCTTCTGTCCCATTTTTTATTGCAATAGCGATATCTTTTATAAAATGCAGTTCAGAGACGAAAACTAGCTTTCGCCTAAAAAACAAGCTCAGCTCCGGGTAACTTAAGCTGCGTCGAAATTTCACTGAAAATGTTCATTGTGTTAATTGGTATCCCCATATCTAAACACGTCAAACTAAGAACATGAATGAATGTCTTGAGTTTGCAAAAAAAGAATGCAAGATCCACCCAAAAATATTGTAACTATCCGGTTAATGAAACACATATTATATTGATTGATTTGATCAATCTAGTTTATCAAACGTTCTGTATATATATTTCGATGAAATCTCTGCCGCGTGTCACAGTGAATGACTACAAAGCTCACTGACTACATTAACCTTGTTTTACGTATATTACCTACTATTAAGCAATGATGGTCTAATGAAATAGACAGGCTCCTGACGACGTCTAAATTTAGCACTGAGTTAAGAAATTGAAAATAAAAAGTTCACGCCCAAATCTGCGCATACAGTTTTCTTTTTAAAATAAGGGAAATTTACAGAAAGGCTTGAGAATAGCCGCTAAATTATGAGACACTTCGACCGGCAGAGTGGACCAATTCAGAAACACCTTGTAAGTTGCAGTCTCCACGCTGGTAAACAATAGTGCATCAAGGCTACGTTTATTCAGATGATTGGCTCTAACAATCGATAATAATAATAACGAAACAAGCTTTCCATAAACTCACATATATTTACTCGTGTAGATGCTTTTAGCGGTCCCCTAGGGGGAACTTACATGATATTTTTTCATAGTCTAATATCCTTTAAGAAAATGCGTTGCTTTTTAGCCAGTGCCGCCAATACCTTAAAAAAGCATAAGGTTAGAGACAGCGAACTTAAACCTCACAAGATTTTTGCCATGCAAATAATTGGCGCAGCTGGAAGTAGCATAGATGGGGCCGACCAAAGCTAGGAGTCTTGGGGAAATTTTATAGAAACAATATGAATTTGAGTGATTGTTCATTATAACGGATTAAATAATGCTCCCGATAATTTTATCAGACCAGGCTTGTAGCAATGCTTTAAATCGAATTTACAGTAACTTTAGTTGTAAAAGAAAAAGAGCGTTTCGTAGTTATGGTTACGCTACCGGAATATACATAAAGTTATATGTTTAAAAACAATGATATTTATTCAACAACTTAGATTCGAATCATATGATCAGAGAAACTCCTTGTTACTATAATAGGTACCATTAATTTCACAGTGAAGCATAGGCAAACGCTTTCCAATCTGCTTTAACTGTATTCGGCGTGCTGTTTGGTCTAGTTTGGCGGTTTTTTGGTTCCTATTCAAAATCAAGAGAGATAGATCCACCAATCAATGTAGTTCACTACCAATAAAGGACACCATAACACGATTTACAATGACGATTAACAAAATTACACACCCAACCAGCAGAAAACGCACGATGAAGTTAACAGTGCCTTTTCTACTTGTGCCATATATAAATGCCGCTTTTTTGTAAGTTATACGAGTATACATCACTACGAGGACATAATTGTAAATGCGATTGCGCATAGTTACCTTCCTCAGTTTGTTCTGATGCTACTGAGTCCATTAATCTTAAATTTTTTTGCGCTTGCCTGCGAACGTCGTCCTTATTTCGAAGATTTATAGTGGCAAATTGAGATCGCATGGGCTGCTCCCACATCGTTTAGTCAGTTTTTCTAATTTTTGGTCCCAATCTTTTGTATAATATTTGCTATAAAAGTATCTCGGTAACGCAAAGCTTTAAAGAATTTTACTACAGGAAAACTTTAACTGTTGTCTAGTACGACTAACTTTTCGTATCCTCCCCTTTTGGCCCCCGGCGTTTACGTTCTTTTGGATGCCAGAATTGCTAATTAAGAACTTGTCATTCCTGAAGTACTAACAAAAAAGACGGATCTTTCGTGAGTTGAACGTTGTCTTTGTATTTTAATTTATTCAATATAATAAAGATAATACAAATACAATTTAGTTACTTTTTTACCTTATTTTTATCCATTGACTTCTATCTCTTAAAGATTACACAGTCGCTTTGGACACCAAACCCACCTCATATATATATATATATATAATGTGATCTCGCAATCCAGAACAACCACGAACTCGCACATATTCATCGATAAGTCTAGTCTGACTGGGATATTTTTACAATGCTATTTACATGCGTTCCTTTGCTTTCGCTTCTTTTATATATATCCGTACAGTACCCGTCTGCCGCATGTTAGGCGGTTCTGGTCACTATATGCAGACATGCCATCCATTTTAAGCAATTCACACAAACACCTATACAAAAGTAGGATCACTATATCTCTAAACTGTCTATCAAAAATAAATTATTTATTATATTTTATTCAGCATTATTTTCTCTTGTTTTGCGTCCCTCCCGTTTATCCATGCTTTCGTATCGTCATCATAGCCTTGTGTTATTTATTCACCAGCCGTGAATCAATCAGTGTTTTATTATTATTGGTATAATTATTATAATTAATAAGAATAATAATAGTTCTTGGTAAAAACCTTACTACAACTATTCGGCGTAGCATGCCTTGTCAAATGAGTTCTAAAATTAATATATTTTTTGATAATGAATGTAGATAGAAGGAAGGAAACAACTACAAATATAGTAATTACTATGCTGAGCAAAAATAAAGTTGTCATTAAAAGTCATAATTTAAATAATAAATAAAGCAGTAATTTTTCATCGCCGCTTCCATCATTCTACATAATAATCTAAACGTCATTGTTCATTTTTAAGTAATCTCTAACCTAAAATATGGCTTACGTAGTTGTTTACATGTTTTTCTCTGTTAGCTTCCTGCGATTTGTAGCTCCATTTCCGACGACTTTTCGGCAAAATATATAAAATTGTTTAAACATTTTCGTTGACTGGAAATAACTTTATGTACAATGGCGATGAAGTCACATTAGTGGGTCCGTCTTTCGAAAGACCGTAATGCTATATGATCGTCGTAGTCATAAGCTCCAGTGGTTTCTTTTTTGTCATATATATAGTCTGTGTTTGAGACCTTTGCGTTGTAAATCGTTGTTCTATTTGGCCACTTCGACTTGAGAAAATTACAATATGACTGCCTTTTCGATTAGACCGCATTCGATGCCACACTTTGATATTGTTGCCGTTGTTGCCTCTCTCAAGCCTACGCTGTTTCTAATTGAAGACTCAAAATTTCATAATTCTTTGACGTTATGCTATTTTTTCATTTTGAACAAAAGCTCTTGTGTTGCTCTTCATTTCATTGTCCCCACTTCTCGGCTACTTCCCAAGTTCTTTTCTACTCGCTTTTAGCGATTAAGGTCGTGTCGAGATCAAAAACAGTAATTGTTAACCACATTGCCCAATGTGGGGACAGATACGTCGACTAAGTGTGCATGCGTGCGTGCAATGGGCTCTCTTTTGAGAATCCGTTATTTTTTTCACGTAATGATATGCGTAGATGTGTGCAATGGTCACTTCAAATCGCTCGTCCTAAACCGTTGTTGCCATTGAGGATGTATCATTTTTCGCATCGTCGACGTTATGTCACGTTATCGCGTGTGAGCTGTGTAATGAATATACATGCGAGATTATACTGTACTACGGTGCTATCGATTGTGCCTAACAGTAACTGTGGCGAAAACCTTATCGTGTTCCCGTCTCAACGGGGCGAGAGGTGAAGGTTTAGGGTTTTCTAGTGCATTTTTTAGCCAACGCGGCAGTTCACAACGAAAAGTGCTAGCTTCCCATTCGCCTAGATGGACAGGCATAAATCACTGGCGTTTGAATTCGCATTAGGGTCCGGTGTATAGATATATATATATATATATATATATATATATTATATATATATATATATATATATATATATGTCGTACTCCCCAATGTCAATATCAATGTGGTTTAGATAAAAACCGGATCAGGGTGTGACTTTTGTCCTTGTTGAATAACCGCTGGCTTGATGTTCTTAGCCGCCGATCGGCCTTGGTGTGCTTGATGCGTGGAATCCTGTGATGGGTGCAATGGACTGGAGATAGCGTCTGACCAGTCACCCTGTGCTGAGTGCGAACTCGAGGGGGACCACTCGCCGGGGGACTCAGGTGAGGGCGTCAGATAGCTGGGATCGTGTGAGACTGAGTAATGTTGCGGAGTAGGCTGATCGGATTGCGAGACCTGTGAGACGCTAGGGGGCGTCGGGTAATGGTTGTATAGGCTGGCTGCTGGAGGGTACTGGCTGTTAGTGTTGCTGGCACTTCCGCTAGCTGCACTGGTTTTGTGACTTGGGCTTCCCGAGTAAATGATGCTGGACGGTTCCATCTTTACCTGATGCGCCTGTGACGTAGTCACGGGAAATTCGTACGCTGACCCGCTGCTGATTTTCGGTTTCGTTTGTGATTGGTTCGACGACTGCGGTCCAACGGCTATTGGTGGAAGTTGTGATTGCTGCTGCTGTTGTTGGTGGTGTTGCTGTTGCCGCATAGCCAGAAGGTGTGTGGGGCTCGTGGGGAGCACGGGCCGTGCTTTCGTCGGTGAGGCCGCAGATGTCAGGTTGTTGTTCCCCTGATGCTGACTGAACCCCGCCGGTAGACTTTGTTGACGACCGTGGTTCACCGCAGGCTGCGGCTGGAGAGGCGGTTGCATAGGTGATGTATAAATATTGTGAGAGTCGAGTATGCCCATCACCCCACCGTATGTGCTGCCGGCCATGTCGTATATACCAGAAGCGCCTTTTACGCAATCCTCATAACAGGGGGGTTGCTTGATATCACCCCCAGTTAGGTTTGGTTGACTGACGGCCATACTGTGGCCTTGAAAAAGGCTCGACTGAGGCGATAGCGTTGAAGAGCATGGTGATCCGAGCGAGCTTGGACTTAGCGCGCCCTCAGCCCCACTAGCAACGACAACAATCTGCGGAGGTGGATCACGCTTCTTCTTCACGCTTGGCGTGCGCCGGCGATTAGCGGACGCTGCGGAGCTATCGGCTGCAGTTGGTGGCGGCTCTTTGCCCTGAAATGCACTTTGGTTACGACGTGCTGTTTTCTTTATCGACTTCGTCGGGACGGACACAGAGGGAGCCGGTTTGCTATTGGTAACCAGCAAAGGTTGAGGGAGTTGAACTGGCGGTAGAGGCACGATTGGGTTAGTGGGAACGTATTCATCCAACATCTTGGCCAGGTCATGGTGTAGGCGGTCAAGAGCGATGCCTCGGGGTAGACGGTCCATGTGGTCGGTAATATCTCTGTTGGCACCGTATTCGAGGAGGATCTTCGCTGCATCGCGACTTCCCTCACGGGCCGCAAGGTATAATGGAGTCTCCTCCAATAGATCTTGTGCATCCCGATTAGCACCATGATCCAATAGGATCTTTACAGCGGTGTAATTATTAACCGCAGCTGCCCAATGTAAGGCAGTCTTCCCATGTTCGTCTGCCAAGTTAACGTCTACCTCGGCGTTGATGAGATCTGTAACCATCCCCTCAACACCCATCCGGCAGGCGAGAATAAGTGGCGTAGTTCCGTCGTACGTCTTGCTGTTCAGATCCGTCGTGCGGTTGCGCAGCAGAATTTGGAACACGCCAACAGCGTCGGCTGCCACCGCCGAGTGCAGTGGAGTTCTTCCTGAGGCGTCTACAGCGTTGGCATTTGCACCCATATCTAGCAGGAGTTTGGCCGCATCTGAACGGGCATAGCGAGCTGCAAGATGTAGAGGTGTTTCCTGTAGGTGTTCCGTTTTATTTGTTATTTTCGCTCCTTTGTCTAGCAGTTCTTGAATCACTATAGTTGAGCCATCATCGACATCCTCTTCAGCTTGATCAATTCCATTACCACGGATCGACACAAGCATAAGCGGGGTGAGGCCAGCTGGGCCACGAACGTCAACGTCAACCTGTCGATCGTAGTCGTGATGCTGGGGCGGTGTCATGGCAACGATATCGGGGTTACGAATGTCCGCCGCATTCAGATGCTGTCTTGTCCATTGCCGAGTGTCGTGGTCGTCATAATCGGCGTTCGACATCACTGTGGCCGTGTCGCCATAAGTCGAATCTTGACATCCTGACGTTGGTCTCATTCGCTTGGCTGGAGGGTGATGCTCTTCGTCGGACCACTCGGTTAGACCGTGGTTGTCGTTTGCGTCGAGGCGTTGATCGTTGGACATTTTAGCGATGCTATGCATCTCTTGACCGTCAGGACGACGTCGTGGGCCACCGCTAACTTGCGGCCGCATGGGTAGGAAACCTTCAGGGAACCAGGTGATGCCCCGGGCGCGTTTTCTTTGTCCGGTAACGAGCACTCCAAGAAGCAGGCCTAAAAGAACGATTATCATAACACCCATCATTGTAGCCAGCACGTTAGGTGCAGCACTTCCGCCGGGAGCCTCCACCGTCGTTCCTCGAATGCTATCTATTTCGAAGCCTCCGCTAATAGCAAGTGCCTGTTTTGAATGAGCTGCCGAGAGGAATTCGGCTGCTAGTGCAGCTTGCATAAAGCATTCGCGACCTTCCGATTGTACGCAACGCCGGTTGTCGATTTCCACGTGAACTGTCGTTCTGAAACATGTATATAAAAAATTATCAGCGGCAACTATTTCATTGGACTATATAAGGACTGTATAAACTATTCGTTGCATCCATTTGTGTCCCCACGGTAATAGCATTACAGCTGTAAGTCTCGCTTCTTTAATAACTGGTACTAAACTTAAACAAGTAACTTAGATTTAACAATTGCATATGTACAAAGGTGCTTTGTTTTAATGAATACGTGTATCTTGATTTGACTAAAACCTATAGCTACTAAAATGTTAAGGGTATATTTATAAATACATACGTGATAAATTCCTTAGCCGAAAGTTCCATATTAATTAACAGCGAGAAAAACTGATAGAAATAGACTGAGCAAAAGCACAATTTCAAGGTTATGCGTCATGAATGAAGCTAATCGTTTACGTACCCCATCTGAATCCGTCCATCCATGGGGCCGATGGAGTCATCAACAACCCATGGGTAGATCATTTCGTTACCATTGGCCTCTTTCTTGAAGCGAACGTTAGTTCTCAAACTATTACCAAGCTCGCGAAGGAAGAGGCGACTTTTGTCCTTGAAGTCCTCGGGAAGCATATTCAGGTTAATGACCATTTCGCCTTCCGCGATGAACGGGTCTCCGCTTTCGCAATCCAGGCCGTCCCAGTTGCACTCTTTCGTGTTGCACCGGTTATCGCAGTAACCATTCGCGTAATTACGTATACAGTATTGGTCGAACGCGGGGTTACATTGTCCTTGTTGCTTCGCACAGTCGAACCCATCGTAAAGACACTCGGCCGTATTGCAATCTTCGTCGCAGTGGCTATCGTTGAACGCCTTCCAGCATTTGATGGGCATTGAGCAGTTTTCAAACGGATTCAGCCCTAATGAGCAGTCTCCGCCGTCGAAACCGCAGGCCGGATAGTTGCATTCATGGTTGCAAATGTTATTTTTTGCTTTTTCAGCGCACTTATTTCTGGCGCACATGAGATACTTCTCCTCGATCATCACGTCAACAGCGATATGACCGATGCCCCCAGGAAAACTCTCGTCTTCGACTTCGCAGTGGCGACCCGCAAATCCGCGAGGACAGTGACACTCGAACGAACCCAACTTTTCGATGCAATGACCGCCGTTTAGGCAACGATCCGAATAGCATATTGTTGCGTTGCTGAACTCGCAGCGTTTGCCAAAAAAGCCTTTGCGACAAACGCAGTTATGACCATTGCCAACTGGTGTACAGAACCCTCCGTTGAGGCAGCTGTTGGGAGGACAGAATTCTACCTTCGCGTCACAGTGCCGTCCCGCGTATCCCTGCTTGCAATCGCAACGATAATCATTAACTAATTGAACACAGTCCTGTGTACCTTCTGCCATGCACGGATCTGATAAACATTCGTTGATGTCACCCTCGCAGCGGGGGCCGATATATCCGGGTGGACACTTACACTCGAAACCGTTAATTTTATCGATGCATGTTCCGCCATGATGGCACGAATTATCCGTACAGTCATTCAGATTGAATTCGCATAGAATACCAGTAGTTCCGGGAGGACAGATACATCGGTACGAGTTGACATGGTCGAAGCAAGTTCCTCCATTTTGACAGGGCATAGGATGGCAGTCGTCGACGTTGTACTCGCAATTATGGCCTTGGAAACCGGTCGAGCATTCGCAGCTATAACTTCCAAGATGATCATGACATCTGCCGCCGTTCTGACATGGCTGTGACGCGCAATCGTTGATATTCTCCTGACAGTAACTGCCTCCATAACCCTTAGCGCAGATACAGCGATGGCTATTCAAGTAATCTTCACATAAGCCACCATTTTGGCAGAGATCATTAAGCTTAACGTTCTTTCGAAGAGCTGCGTCCTTGCACGAAACCATTTCCACGTCGCAGTGACGACCTGCCCAACCGTTTTGGCATATACAGGCATATGTATGATTCAGCTGTTTGCATGTCGAACCGTTCTCGCATGGGCTGGAATCACACCAATTAATAAAATGTTCACAGTTTCTGCCGGCAAAGCCGTAGGGACATCTGCACTCGTAGAATCCATTGTCGTCGATACAGGTGCCGCCGTTCTTGCACGGGCCAGAGTCACACTCGTTGATGCGGAACTGACAATTGGCGCCAGTGTATCCCGCCGAGCAGCGACACGTGTACGCATCGATGCCGTCAACGCAGGTGCCTCCGTTCATGCACGAACTCATAGTGCAGTCTTCATCATTGGTCTCGCAGTCGACGCCTGAGAAACCCAGAGGACAGGTGCAGGTGTACGAGTTGACGTAGTCATTGCAAGTAGCCCCGTTCTTGCAAGGACTGCTGGCGCATTCGTCGGTATCGATTTCACACTGCTTACCGCCGAACCCGTCCACACAAATACACTGATAGTCGCCCACCTCGTCCAAGCACGTCCCACCGTTTCGACACGGGAAGCTGGCGCAGTCATCGGTGTTGATCAAGCAATCCTTTCCTTCGTAGCCCTTGGTGCAGTTACAAGTGTACGATCCGAACTTGTTTATACAAGTTGCGCCATTGCGGCACGGATTGCTTGTGGCACACTCGTTAATATCCTGATCACAGAGGCGGCCAGTGTATCCGCTTTTGCAACTGCAAGAAAAGTCTTGAAAGTTCGAGCTTGGCGAGCAAATAGCCCCATTTCGGCAACGATTCACGGCGCAAGGATCGAGTCGCTGTAGGCAGTTCTTGCCGGTGAACGGTATGGCGCAGACGCACTGGTAGCCGTCGACGAGGTCAATACAAGATCCGCCGTTAGCGCATGGATTGCTGACGCAATCGTTGATATTGATCTCGCAGTTGGCGCCCTCGTAGCCTTTGGCGCACAGACAGGTGTAATTAGCTAGTCGGTCCCGGCACGTTCCACCATGCTGACACGGATTAGATTTGCACTCATCAATCTCGTTCTCACAGCGGTGGCCCGTGTAGCCCGCAGGACAGTGGCAGATGTACTTGTTGAGGTCGTCTTCGCAGGTGCCGCCGTTGTGGCACGGGCTCGATGCGCACTCGTCCACGTCCGAGTTGCACCTCGAACCAAAGTACCCGCGGGGGCAGGTGCACTGGAAACCGTTCTCCCGATCAACGCAAGTACCGCCGTTAGCGCAGGGACTGCTGGCGCATTCATCAATGTCCATTTCGCAGTTGCGTCCACTGAAGCCGGGTCGACATTTGCAGCTATACTCGTTGATGCCGTCTATGCACGTGGCACCATGACGGCACGGATTCGATAGGCATTCATTGATGTTTCGCTCGCAGTTCTTGCCCGTCGTGCCCGGCCTGCACGCGCAATTATAGCCGTTTGCAAGGTCTGTACAGGTGCCGCCGAATTTGCATGGCTCCCCGAGGCACTCATTTACCTGGGTCTCGCAGAATCGGCCCGTGAAGCCGGCCGCACAATTGCAATGGAAGGTATTCACACCGTCAACACAGGTGCCGTTCCTGCAGGGGTTGTTCTGACAATCATCAACGTTGACTTCACAGAGCTTGCCGGTGAAGCCTGTTTTGCATTCGCACTTGTAAGCGTTGACCAGATCGAAGCATTCGCCGCCATGTTTGCATGGGTTCCCGCTGCAGTCGTCAATGTTGACTTCACAATTGACTCCAGTGAAGCCGATGGGACAGCGGCATCGATATCCGTTGATCTTGTCGAGGCAGACGCCAGGCCCACATGGACTTGGGTCACATTCGTCGATATCCTCCTCACAGCGAATTCCCTTATACCCTGAAATGTATCAACATCAGGACGAAACATAAGCTGCTAGTGCGTATCATTAACGCCTATGAAGTTCTTCATTTTTAGTTCAGCTTCTTCGAATCAAATGAACGACTACGTAAACAGGACACGAACACAACAAAGCCTCATTCTCTTATGCTGAATGAAAGGGAACTAATCTCCATTTGAACTTGCTTATCTGTCTGCCGCAGTTCAACTCGATTGTAAATACAAACCGGTTTCATTTTAGTAAAAGTTTGCTATAATCCATAGAAATTCTAACCAAGTCCCACCGCAGCAGCAGCAATAAGAACAACCGTAAGAGAGCTTCGAATAGTTCGGCCATATTGACTGCCGGTATCGAGCCGGTGCGACGCCAGCGAAGAAAGCTTTCGTTCTCTATTATTATTATAGAGTAAAAAGACACTCCGTTTTTGCGTCAAGCCCAACCAACATCAAAAAGCCTCCATTTTGATTCTTGCCGCGCTGAATCCATGAAGATTTATCGCCAGCATCAACAACAAATAAATATAAACAACGAAGCGAAAAGCGTCTAATGAAACTCGATCGGTCATTCGCGTCGGACCGCTAGTGCTTATCGCAGAAGTGAACGGCTAGGCTGCTCCATTATTTGTATATGTCGATCTAAAATGGTAATTATTTCAGTTCTTAGGCAAACGATGTTGATTTTCTACGAGTAGTTTATCTGCCCTTCTAATGTCTTGGTAATGCAGAAAATTTGCCAAAGAATTGTTAGCACAATTAGGGGTAATTGTAGAGGTTACTCTTCGATTCAACTATTGGCTTTACTGGTAGAAGGTCTACGACGTCACCGATAAATGATTTGAGGCTGTCAGGCGTGTGCACGGTCACGTCGCTTCAACGCGAAGATCTCACACTGAAGCGACAAGTGTTTAAGGCAGGACCAACACAGAAGCTAACGCCGAATTACAACTCGGCAGCCCCACGAAAGTTAGCTAAATTTCTGTATACGCTATGAACTTTTCATTGTACTCGATCACGTAGTGAAGAGTACTCCGCAACTAGAAACTGCTTAAACCGCAGTGTTACTTACTAATCTCTGGAATATTAAATATAAAACATCAACTGTAAATCTACACACAGACTAGTAGTGAAGACGAACATGCATAATTTACTTATTTGAACTCTCTCTCAATGTATATGAGTTGATATTTTGTTAAAGTATTCGGCGTTATTCCCAGTTCCCGCCAAGCTGTTCGCAGAAGCCCACTGCGTATCCGGAACATTTTTCAATGTACGATCTGATGTGCCCTTTACCCAGTATCCGAAATCTCGTCTCTGCTTCTACATATCGACGTTGAACTTTGCAAAAAACACACTGTGATATGTTATTTCAATACGATTATCCATTCAAGACTGGCCCTTGGGTCTTTGCAGTACTATCGTTTTCTGTACTACTCTAGCGAGACGATATGATGTTGTTTAACGCGGTCACATCGATCACAAGAATCACAGACACAGAAATGATGTATTTAGTTTCTTTTTATCATCATGGGTGCTAATCCAGAAAATGTTGACGGGTTGCTTCGTGGGTGCGAGTATACATCTATCTAATATGTAGTGAACATCCAATGAGGTCTTGGCGACCGCCATGTGATTGTCTTACCAATTAATCCGCTTTCTGGATATTGCCAGCCGATCGGAACATGGTTTTTGTTTTATATAAAATAAACAGACTGAGTTGGTCAACGGACTGTGTGTCGCCTATATATAGGAGGGGGTATGGATAACCCAACCGCCGTATAAATCTAGTGAAAGCTGAGAGCGACCTCCGAGTATCTTCTCACGGTCTGCTAAGTATCGGGATGGTCGCCTACTGCCGCCGCCGGATGCAATCATCGCACAGATGTATGAGAGGGAAAGGCCACGAACGCCATCTGCTGGGTTAAAATGGTGGAGGAAGGAAGACCTTTAGAGACCCTCGGGTGACACTAACGGACGATGGCGCTGGTGGAAAATGTCTGTCGCAGAGAGCCATTCATTTTAGATCAGAGCTATTGCAACTGCATATTCACATAGTATGTGGCACAGGATGAAAGAGGTGGAGCAAAAGGCAATGATTTAAAGCAGATTTAAGATTTCTACTTTTCGCTTCCTGCCCAGAATTCAGGTTGAATAGGAGCTAAACTATTGTGAGGACTGTGCGTTGCATCTTCACCAGTTCTAATCAAGACAGTAGACTTTAACCATTATTATTATTATGAGTAGTTATCTATAGTAGTTTATTTCTTTTCCGTTACGGTTTGGTATAGCTTGGAACGTTATATGGACTTCGAAGAAGGCGTTCTCTAAGTATACGTTTGTGAAAACAAAATCTCAATTTTAAGTTTTCAGTGGGCAAAACTGCTACTAAGAAGATGTTACTGTATCGATAGAATTATTTAGGAAAAGTTTCCGAGGGCTTGCATTCAAAAATAGTATTGTAACTTGATTTACTTTTTCGAAACTCCTTTGTCTATGAAGTTATTCAAATTGTTGCTGTACCATTTTTACTACAGCCCATTCCAATTTATGTTATGGGTAGGAGTTGACACACAAAAAAAACAATTTCAATCCAGGACCAGAATACCGACTAAGTTTTTGTTTCACTAACTTCTCCGTAGCTTTGTCCCTGATTTGCTTGTTGCCTATGCGTGTTTGTATGTTCGTCTCTTTTATCGCCATTATCACGACGGGCAGGCAGACAACCTGGTAGGTAGTGCAGAAGGATTCCAGAAGGAATAGACTACAAGAGAATGGCGGCTATGGCAGAAGACGTCAGTTTCCCATGATGCCATAACGTCGATGGTTCCCATCAGTCGACCAACGAAGAGCCTGGTTCGCTGTCGGTTTCACTGCGCACTCTCGTTCGGCAGAGGCTGTAAGCAGTGCTGCTACGGATGCAGTCCTTGTGCCAGAAGAGAAGCGGCGGCGACAAGCGAAAAGCTGTTTGATGCACCATCAGAGTCGTGGAACAACGACGTCACCAGGCAAGCATTCAGCTTTTGCCAAGCAGTGAAAATGAGCAGAAGCTCGAAGTTGGTGAATGAAAAAAGAGACAAAATGATGATGACGACGTGCCCTGGGATGCACCTTAAAGCAGCAGTAGCGGCAGTAGAAGTAGCTAAAAAAAGGCGAATTCAACCGGCTACCCCCGTGCGAATAGGGGCCCTCCGGATATCTCTAAGCTAGTCTGAGCAGCAGCTGTAGTAGTAGCGAGATTATCCGCAACCTAATATACGACTGTCCTATGAAAGCGAATATGTCAGTGGGAAAGCACATATGCGCCAGCAGAAGCGGCACTAAGCGGCTGAAAGTTGTTTGCATACAATCGAGCGACATTAAGTGAGTCTGATACCTAGCCAGTCTCTTGCGGAGGAACGTCCAGAACCGAAGTCGTCATACTCACAGCATTTCCGCCTATGTACGTAAAATATCACAGCAGTCGAACAGTGACCATGTCTGTTTTAACAAAGCTTGCCAAATGCTATCATACGTACGAAATCATTACTTCCATTTTGTTGTTTTACTGCCTTGAATGGACAGTCCAGTATGAGGTATCACGGCGTGCAGTGGACATTGTGCCCCAACAGAAATAAAAACATAAGCACTATGCGTATCCATGAGAATGGGTTTAATTGGGCTACGACGATCATATCAGAATATGCTTAATTATACGTATTTTGTAGGTCATAATGTTTGCATCTCGCGTAGTTTTTACTATAAGGACACGTATAGGTAGAGGATATTTGGTTAAATCTTCGCTTCATCTCCCCTACGACAACGAGCTTAAAAGTACAGATCCATTCTGGACTGACGACTTTATAGATGTATTGATCTAAATGTTTTACTTTCGATTATGTTCTATAAAAAATTAAAGCAGCGAATGGCTTTTTGAAGAGACGATCGTACGGATTGTGGTAGAACGATTAGTGGTTACCATGGCCTACGTCATGCTCCTATGCGAGGCAAGCGGGTCCACACCTCGAAGGCTCGTTAGGGAATCGGCACTTCTTTGGGCGGCCGTTCGCGCCCTCATCTTCAGCAACGACGCAGCAGCAATACAAATACAGCTATGTATAGACTGATCGCAGCTAAGATCATGCATGGACGTCGTTTTTCCCGCTCCAAGTCCTACTCTCTGCTTTATCTCCGCCCACAAAGAACACTTATTTGATACATGCATGCGACAGATGAAATGCGGCCTGTAAGGCGATCGACTGTTGCCATAGATTTTCAAAGGGTGGGGTTTCCATTAGCTGTATATCTTCCTGCCGCTTTGCTCATCGTCTTCTTTTTTCGTTTGTCTTCAATGTGACTACAGTAATGTTTTGATGATGCGCAGGTACTGCCGTTGCCTAAACGTTCTTCCCCTTTCCCTTTTGCTTTTTGTCACTTTCCGCCCGTATCGCGATAGCTCGTCAACAAATCGTCAAAAAAATGCAACCACAAAATGCCGGCAGTCGGGTCGGATGGTCCCACGGCCGTCGCCCCTCGTTACAACAGCTAGATTCTCTGAAGATTTATTTTTGTTCTTTTAAAGATTTACTCATTTCTAATAGAACGTCTTCATCCACTCTGTATTTTTTTAGCCTTCTGCTTTTCATAATTTTCGATCCTGCCAGCATCAGTACTAACAGCAAAAACGTTCGAAATACTACAGCTACGGACGGATGCTACATCTGAAACGCTACGACATGAACGGAGTCGCGAGCATGGCCATTGGTAACGCTGGCGTACATACGCCTGTCGTACCAAACTACCACACAAAGCTCTTGTCTTTGCGTTTTCCGCTGCCTCGACCTTTTAGCATAGTCGATCTGTGCTGAAGGTACGGAGTCGATCAGGTTGTCCGCAGCGATAACAATTGAATCCAACGCAGCTGAAGGTCGCCCGGCCTGTGCCGATTCCACATGTGCTAACGTATTTATTACATCAATATATATTTTCCAAGCTCTATGTCCAGCGCCGCTGTCATTAAGCATTGCTTCGGACATGACAACAGTATTTGTTGCAGTGTTGTTTCGTCGTATGGAAGAAGAGCTAGGTGATTGTCGGTCGTACAATACATGTAATGCTTCTGTTGTTTTTGTTGTTGTTTTTGTTGTTACCACTATAGTTTTCGTTCATGTTACGACCGCTTCAATCTCGAGCGCAGCGACTTGGTCTCCTCAAACCAGCCACGATCTTGGTCAAAGGCGACCCTAACTTTACCGATGCCGATTCAGCAGCTCCCGGTACGCGATGTGTTTCACAGTTGCCGTTCGATGTTAAGCGTCATGCCGTTGCCTATCTACGCCGCGCACGCGGACTGCGTTTTAGTTAGTCAACCAGCCAACGGACGCGTTCTACTTTCGACCCCATTTTCGCTTTCTGATATTTGCCAATAGCAGCAGTAGTAATCTAACAATACGTAAATATCCATTGATGATGACTGTCGTCGTTATTAGTGAGTTCTGTGTGATCCGCTGTTGTAGTTAGCAAACAGAAGAGAAAGAATATGCTCACACGTATCAGATAGAGATTTGCCTCCTGCTACGAATGGGTATATTCTTGTTCTGTGAGTGTATTTGATGTTTGCCTGTTCGTACTCCTGGTGGACCAGCATACAAAGGACGGCGTGTAAGTACACACTTTTGAAGGCTCGTCTGTGTCCCGTAGCAGATACTATATACCTACGATATCTACAGCGACTGAAGTGTAATCATCATTTTGGCCTTACTTCTGTATAAATGGGAAAACAACATGAATTTTCTTTCAACATTTTTTGCGTTTTCTATTAAATGCATTTAACTCACGCTGCACTACCAGCGTCATCGTAATCACTACTGCTGCTGGCGCACTATAACTTTACTATAGCTCAACTGCGGAATCACTATAACGCGCACCGCCCTGTTCCTTTACTTTTGCTTGACTCTCAGCTGCTATTTCTGCCACTTGTTCAGCCGTTGCAGAATCGGCACTGCAGCGCTAGCAACCAGCAGCGACACAAATAAAGCGGCTGCCTCTTCAAGTAGTCACAGACAAAGAAGTAGAAACGACGACAACAGCGTCTAGCATTAGAAGCAACAGCTCTCGCCCACTTTTTCCCACAGACTCCCTTTCTCAGACAACAACGGTAGTTGATGATGATGTTGATTACTGCTGATTATTGGGCTGCTGCTGCTGCTGCTGTTGATGGTGGCGACGGCTACGACAACGGGAACGATGACGGCAGTATTGAGACGACAGGCCGACAGCGGTGGTCATCATTCGCCTTGCTTGCGTTCTTGTTGCTGCTGCTTGTTGGCGTTTGTTCACGAGAGCTCTCACTCTTCAGTTTTTGCCGCCGCCACAGCAACAGCAGCGGCGATCGGTCCTCAGGATCCCCTCCGCGAAAACAGGCCCGCCAAACGAACGGCTGGACGGTTCAGCCGTCCACAAATGGCTGGTGGACGGACCTACGGACCGTCCGTTTGGTGGCTCGATGCTTTGTATACGTCGGACGGCCTGCGAGCTGAGTGACTGGCAATTGCTTACTTTCTCGTCCGCGCGTACCATTGGCGCACATGTGCCAATCGGGTTAGTCGATACTGTTGCCGAGTTTGGACTAGCAGTTTCGCTCTTCGAGTAACTACGGGCAACCAGAGGTATGGTGTGGTCGGACCAAGACCGTACGAGTGGAGACTTATGACGCTTGGCACGAAATGACGCCTACAGCAATCCTATTGGTTCGCAGGATTGGCCATTGATCGACTGTCTAACAAACAAAGGCCTGTCAATATAATTTTTTTAGACTACTACACAGCTTTATGGGAACATTTATGAATGAGTAAACGCGAAGGAGATAGTCAAATTGTCATGGTAAGCACTAGAGATTTTCAAAACTATTCCTATGGGCCGCTGTCGCCTACACTAAAATTGCTGTTGAACTGTGACAAAACCTGCTAATCTTCACTCAAGATTGGCGTTTCTTCATCACGGTCAACACCGTTGCAATCTTTCGATCAACCGTAAAGAAAGAGTTGGTTCGATTTTCGCACGGAATCAAGAGTAGCAGGGGCTACTTGCTCTTTACGGTCCCCTCGTCGACATAAGCGTATATTGCTTGCCCAGTGGAAGACGGCGGTAAGGGATGTTATGCATCGAACAGCAGTAATAATCGAAATAATCATCATAGCCACGGATCACACAGGCCGATAAAAAGCAATCTTGAATTATAAACAAACATATTTTCGCGCTCGTTAAAGCATTGAAAATGTCAGCCAGCTGATCCGACGACGAAAACAACAGTTACTAGTTAAACTAGAAACAATAGCAATAACAGTTAAAAAGCCCGCCAGGAAACTGCACATCCTTTACATCGAATTTTTCTTTGTATCTATTAGTCCTGTCATCATCAACAATATGTACAGGCACTTATTCAAGCAGAGGCCAACACCCAAGGCATAGTTCATGTTTTGTTGTTTGTTGAGTGAATGCATTTATAGTACGAGTAAGAGACAGCTAAAGTGACAGTAGCTCCTTCACAGAACAGTGGGTATAAAATTATCTCTACGTGCTCGTTTGTGATATTCGTCGTTTAGAGGAGCACGGAACGAAACGATGGCAAGGGCTATCCAGGTACGGGTCATACTCCAATTGCCGCGCCTCTCCTAGCCATGTTTAGGACCGGGGTATAGCTCCACGTGTCTGAGTACAGCATTAAAAGGATGACTTCTAACCGAATCTTCGGTAAGTAGCTATTGCTAATGCACAAACTATGCATGCAACGAGGTACGACGTCGCCCCTTTTCTTCAGAAGAGCTTCGTTCGCTATCTCGTCCGCGGTTTTTGCAAAAAGGTGTCTCCAGGGAGCGATTCCACTCTTCGCCTTTGAGAGAAGACACGGCCATGTTTTGCCGGTTAGTGCTCCAGCCAGTATCAATGAACGCGTTTCGGTGCGTGTGCATTCGGTACGGATGCGCCAAATCGAAGGGTCGCTCCTTAGCTTGCTTGCTTGCTTGGTAATGGGTGTGCCCACAGCCGGTGCTTTACTCCCCACACAACTACCGTTCGTTACGATATGGATCGTTACGTGTGTCATTACATACGGATAAACAAGCACAAGCACAAGTGCATGTGCATGTGTTTATATAACATATTCTGTTCCGTGGTGTTTGCCAAGTCAAGACACTTCATCAGGTCGTTCTCCTGTCGTGAAGCTGTTTTTTCGCAAGATATTCATATTGGCATTTGTGTTTATAGCAATAATGATAATCACAACACTTGAGCGCCGCTCTTACCGCTATCGAACCACCGTCGCTAACCGAGGTAATCTGACACAAGTGGATTTCGGAGGTTTTATAAACTGACAAATTTGAAATTCCTTCAATGCTTTAATGCATCTTATATGTACTCATATAGATATCGAAACGGCAGACGCATTCGTCCACGCGCGAGTATATGCAGATGCGCCTGACGACAACCAAAAGCTTTTTTTGCGACCCTGTGAAATTTAATGGGCAACTTCGTGACGAGTGAAAACACGACTCTGTCGAGAAACAATGCGAAATTTTGTATTACTATGATTGCCCTCTTTTCCAACCCACTCATGGAAGCCAAATTGGCTACGTTCGCAGTTAGATTCAAGTAAGGTTTTCTCAATCCCTTGCATAGGCACGGAAGGCTATTAAATTGCTTTCGTTTTCTCTACCATCACTTACTTTTTATGTGATATACTAGCGTCCATTTTGTGCTGATCATTATTTCGAGACAATAACAATGATAGAGCCTTAACATGCAGTTGTTTGTATAGCTACAGATGTAATGTGATGGTCTATCAATTTTAGCAGCGAGCACCAAGATCCCCACGCGGCTGCTGTGACCACTGCCTATGAACTAAGCCAAACAAACAAAATACTCCGTTCTGCCTCGATCTAATTGTCCCATCTGCCTTTTGTCCTCTTTCACTGTGTATCTTTTGGAAGGAGACAATATACAGTAAGCAAATTTACTCGTTTTCTTGTTTTGATCCTTTGTCCTTTGGGCACTAACAGCATCTGTAGGAACCGCAATGGTAATTTAGCTTGCCGCCTTCTTACGCAGAGGCATCCGAGAAGGCATGAGTCTTTCTCGCAGAATAGTCACCTATACGAACAGACCACTGCGAAGATGACAAATGAATACTAATCTTTTTCTCGATGATGATTAGAACGATGGCAACGAGTGGTCGGACGACGCTGGTTATCCACGTGGACGGCTACGATCCCGGTGTAATACCGCTTGTCGCGTTCGCATCGTGGCCATTGATTGAGGAATAATGACCACCAGGCTGCCGACAACTGCCACCGATTCAGCGAGCAGTTGTCGCTGCTGCTGTAAGTAGGCGTCGATGGCAGCTGCAGAGCGTCAGAGACGCCACGACCATCTTTTCCTGTTTTCTTCATCAGAGTACAAATCCACCGGTTCTGGATCGAACTTCGAAGTCAAACGATTACGAATACGAAGTTGCTTCGTACGTGTGCGCAGCAGCATCATAACTACAACTGCGATGTGAGCGCTCGATCTGAAGTAGAGCTTACGCTGATACTCATGCTGCTGACTTGTGAGTGGCTTCGGAAAATACGAAATCCACCGTGTTACGGCAATGGCTACGAATGCTCACCGCATAGATGCTTACTAGTGAATGGTCATCTGAATTCGACGCAAATACGAAAAGACACGACATGAAAGGTGTCAACAACTCTACAAGCGTTACATGTTAAACGCCAGAAGGGAAGAGGTGATGCCGCAACGATCAATGCACGCTGTGCGAATGGCGAGCGATTCACTAGCTTCGGATATCTGCTTTTCTACTTTCCCAGTGTGTGAGATGTAGGAAGGCTTACACTATGCGAAGGGTGTCGCCTAGGTACCTAGCGTAAATGCGCTATTCGTCGCTAATGACACCCCCGTACCTAGGTTAGATTTAGTCATTGAAATGACCACTAAAAAGAATATAGAAAGAAAGACAATGACGACCTTGTAGGCACCTTTGCAATACAACAGCTATAGGTGCAAGAAGCGACAAAACGTCAACTAAAACACCTAGAAGCGAGAGTAGAGAAAAGGTCTCTTTTTCATGAAGATGTAGAAGGAAGCAAAGCACATCTGAGGTTGTGCCCATGTTAAACACATGTAGGTGCGATGCATTTATGTAAACGTATGGACGCGTGTAGACGAATTAGTGATAATTAATAAGTTGCCGCATCAGTGCTGGCATCGACTGGACAACACTCAATGGTAACGGTAGCCGCATGAAGAAAAGCCATAAGAACAACCCATTTCGCGAAGTACAACATCATCAGCAAGTGCTCTCTTCTATCATTGTAGAAAAATCACTGATTGACTGATCGGCACTCACCAACTGACTGATCACAATCGTGTAGAAGCGAGCGTCTCGAGTTCTGGTTACCCTTCAGTGTAACTCCTAAGACACAATTGGGTCCAACATATCCCTGGTCAGATTTTGGGGATCCCAGAGGCTCTTTCGATTTCCCAAGAAAGAAAGTATTTTTTTGAAAAGCGGGCTTTTAAAACTATTCTGTTGACGGTTGCAATGCGTGGCAAGAATATGAGTGCTCTATAGCTCTCATAGTAAACGACCTTACCTACTGCAAGAAGCATTTACCGTTCGTTGAGAATATATATTATAATATTAAGACTGCCGACGAATGCCCCCGTTTGCTAAAATACTCTTTGTGCATGCAATTAAGCGCTCTAAAGATGCGACGCACTTTGTCCTACTACCATATAGCAAAACCGCTTTATCGTTATTGACAAGCAGGAAACAAAAATAAAACAAGGCAGGCTAAAGTAAAGTAACGCAATGTAAAGCGGAAATCATCAGACGGAATTGAATGATAATGTATTATAAATGGACGACGAATCCGACAAATCGCGAAACGGGTCGACGGTCAGCAGGCCGTAGACGAAGCCGGACTAAGATGAAATCAGTACGTTTAGTTCCAAGGTAGTTCAACACTATAGTTATACTCAAATGTCGCCGACAGTACAATGTTATATTCATCGTTTGAGCTCAATTCACTTGCAGCCCAGAAGTGCCTTCAGTATGGGCGCCTTCACTAAAGGTAACGAAAGAGCTGAAGGGAAGGCACAGCCGCGGCGAACTTTGCTCGTGGGAACGTCACCCACTTCGTCGTCAATAGCAAAGACGAACGCCGGCACATATCGAACTTCTATGGTATTTGCATAACAACAAGGATGAAATTGCCAATTCAGAACGAGAATGAACGGCTCCACCATCCGTTGATTGCAGCGCACTGAAAAAAAGCTACATACAACATATAATAACCAAAGAAAGGCTAGGTCCAAAAAAGGAGGATAATTCTCGATGATCGTCCGGTGCGTGGCAAGAGCTACTGCAGTACTAACACAAATCTTCCCGGTTAAAACCTGAGTACCCGTATCAGTTGTGGAACTTAGTCGACCACGCGATATTTAGACACGTTCAGACATGTTCACATAAATACATAGACAGTCAAACAGTACTGTGAATTTTAAGAAATCCTCAAGTTGGTTTACTACAAAAGAATTAGAAGTAACAGCAGCAGGCCAGCCGTAAGAAAACGAAAAAGAGGCCATCGAGTGAAACGGAACCGTCGCAGTAGTTCCGATCGCTGAGCTATACACCACATAGATGTACTAGTAGACATCGATTGAAACACGTAACACGCGTATACAGGAGAGGCATATTACGTAAAGCCGAACATATGCGTTAGTCACGAAGAGTTTGAAAGGACAGATCGTTGAGCAAGTCAACGCGCCGGCACTTGTGATTGTGAGGAGAGAAAAAAACGTCAAAGACCTTAATGAGCGTAAGAGAGCCCCGGCTGATTCCTGCTACTGACACCGCCACCATCACAAAACTTCCACGACTTAGGTTAACTATTTCGTTTATCTTCACACATCATGTGAGTCCACAGGGGCAAGGAGCGCCGTGGCTGGGAGCTGCTATGCTCCAGATGGCGCAATGAAGATCAGTTGCTATCGCCGATCATGGCTCAGGGCCGAAATTCTTTAAATAACTTGGGACGCAAACTGACGCATCTTGGCCCGACTCGGATAACAGGCAAGTTACGATCGATGTATGCAACAAGAAAAACTAATGAAAAATATGAGTATACTCATATATATGATTGTGTGGTATTAAGAAAAACTACAAACCGTAGCCAAGAAGCATCATTCGGTCGTTGCTATATTTAAGGCTCGTGTACCGTCGACGATTGAGCTAAATCTATGTATATGTAATGTATCAGGGTTTCTCTTCCTCATACTAACCTGGCATACAGACGCAACGAAAAGCCCCTGTTTCATCGAGGCAAGTGCCATCATTTTCGCAGGGATTGGGTTCGCACTCGTTGATGTTCACCTCGCACCGGGGTCCCGTAAAACCTAACGTGCAGTTGCAGCCGAATGAGCCCGGTGTGTTAACACAGGTGCCGCCATGCTCACACGGATTCACATCGCCCGAACACTCGTCGACGTCTTGCGAGCAGTCCAGACCAGTCCATCCGTCTTTGCACGAGCACTTGTATCGACCATCAATTGGGCTCGTATCACAGACCGCGCCTGCATGACACGGGTTCGAGAGGCAGGCATCATCAATGTGGCACAGTAAGCCCATTTTGCCGGGTGGGCAGATGCAATCGAAGCGACCCACGCGGTCGACACATGTGGCTCCATTGTGACAGCTAGCTCCGACGCACTCGTCATTGTTTTCCGAGCAATCAAGACCCGTCCATCCGCTGACGCAGACGCAGTTAAAGCCGTTCTGAATGTTTCGGCAGGTGCCACCATTTTTGCAAATCGTTGAGTCGAGAGAACACTCGTCTACGTCCTTCGTGCAGTACTGGCCAGTGGTTGTCGGTGGGCACGCACACGTATAACCGTTGATCCCGTCGACGCATGTTGATCCGTTGGCACAGAGGCTGCCGATGCAATCGTCGATGTTAATCTCGCAATCTGCCCCACGGAAGCCGCGCGGACACCGGCATTTGTAGTCATGCTGGCCGACACGCGTACACTCGCCGCCATGTTGGCACGGATTTGGTTGACAGGGCACGAATTCATGTTCGCAGTTCTTGCCGGTGTAGCCAGGTTGGCACGCGCAGTTATAACCACCCTGCGTGTTACGGCAGGAACCGGAGATGCACGGGTTCTGGCTGCATTCGTTCACGTCGAATTCGCAGTGAACGCCTTCGTAGCCGTTGCCGCACAAACACTCAAATCCGAAATGAGTTGACGTGCAGCTGCCATGTTTGCAAGGGAACGAGGCGCAATGATCAACCTGCGAGCAGTTGTGTCCACGGAAGCCGGACGGACATTCGCAGAAATAGCTATTTAGCGATGCTAACTTGCAGACACCGCCATTTTGACATGGCTTACTATCACAGCTTGATGGCTGGCGCTGCTCGCATAATGTACCGTTAAATCCGATGGGGCAGTGACATATATAGGAAACGCCACTCACGGTAACCTGAGGTTCGCACGTAGCACCGTTCCGACAAACGTCACCATGAACGGTGCAGGGATTCGAGTATTGACAATATTCGCCAGCAAACTGCGGTTTGCACCTGTAACAACAACAACACAAATAGGAAGTACAATGCGTTAATAGTATCATTCGTTCACAACATTTATAAAAATCTCGCATCTCTGCATTAGTTCCTCTTCATCATTCTCATTTCTACGTGATAAAAATATATCTACGGGAAGGCTTGTTTATATAGTGATTGTCTATCTAAATTCCAATGAAGCAGGAATTCTAGCACTTAGAGACTGCGTATGAACTCTGCATGATAACCGAGCCAACAGACAAGTTCTTAATGGTTTAAGCGGCAGGATGTCCGTCACTTGAAAGCTGGCATTGTATTTTTTTAGTCCTCTTACGCGATCAGACTAGAAAGAATGACCTACATAAACAATGCATATAGGCTAACATCTGCGCAGCTATGTTAGATCTTCGCAAACGCTTTCACATGTACGGCTATGTGATCTGTGCGTAAACTATCCACTCTTTGAAGAAGATTTTCATTTCAAGTTTGTACCGATGTTATTATTACTATTATTATTGTTCGATAACAGGACGATCGCTACTGTCGTATTGACGATAAATCGCTTGTTGCTGCCACTAATGCTGTTAATGTTTATTCATGCCCGTTTCTGAGGTTTTTTTTTGATTAGCAACAACAAAAATAATAACGATTGCTCTCAGTGTCAATCATGACATTGTGGTTTCACTTTATAGTAAAGCAATTTACTTAATGCAACGATTGCGTCTCGCAAGAGCTCTTCAACGTTACGCGTACGTCTGGGGCTTTCGTTAGCACCGACGCTGTCGCGTCTACATTAAACGATTCGATCCTGTCGGACGTTGTCAGTGCTAACCGACCCGTTCTATCTCGCCCGCACTTTCTAACGCCGTTATTCTCGTCTTATCTTCACCCTATGACAACTGACTAACTAAGAAGCTTGCCGTAGCGACAGGAACCGTTCTATCTGCGCGAAGTGACGCCTCACATACGGCGTGCACACAGACCGTAAGGCCTTCGAGAGACAGCCGATAGGCAGGCTTACATGAACGAGCAAAAAAACTTGCTCCGCATTCGTAACATTGGTTGCACTAGGTTGTGCTCTTACGCTGGCGCCATTGTTACGCTCTTGAGGGAACGGGAACTACAAAACGGAAACGGAATCCACGACGACGATGACGATGGCAATAGCGACAACAACACGATTGTTGTTAACGACAATAACCCGATTACTGCCTTAACTAGACTAGCGAGGGCAAGGAGCGATTCGAAATGACAGCGAATCATTGGCGAGGGCCTTGAAAACAAGAGATCGATATGGATCAGTTTCTCATCTGAGTAGCAACGGGACATATTTACGATACAGGCACCGTGGTTTTAGCATCGTGTGTTAGAAGAAGAGCGGCGACTGTCGATCGTCTGAGCCCTTACAACTCATGGAACAATCCTGTCGTTATTACAACATTGCTGCTGTTAGCGTTGCGTCTGCCTAGCAGCACCGAAGGTAACACCTCTGCTGTTAGCTGTCACATGAATCAAGGCTGCAAAATAGGACGTTTACTAAGTTACTGTTAAGAAAGCAGCTGGCTAGGATTAAGCCTAAGACCTAAGCCGACGACTATGTACTCCCACAAAAATCAGTCGTAGTTGTTCCAATAGAATAAGAGAACAAAATATTTTAAACGGAATCAAGTGCGTCTCGCATTAAAGATGGTCCGGCCTTCAGACGAGCTTCGGTCGCTGCCTAAAACCGCGTCAAACAACCGGGTCGAATCTTTTTTGTCTAACTTCATTCTACATACGATAACAATTTGCTCGTCTGTGCTCTTCGTAGTATCTGTTTCATCAGGAAGCTAACATATCATCAAGTCTAAAGACTCTCATCGATCCTTTTACAGTGCTGTGTGCTTACCATCGATCTTTATCAATCCTTTTTTTCTTCTTATCTCCGTTACGCAAAATGATGGGGCTGTTCTGCTACCGTAAAGACGGTAGCGGGACGGCCAAGTCGTGACCCAGCCTAACGTCATTTTTTTCGCTTAGTTTTTATTACGGCTTCTGCTTCAGAGGCGGCTTTCTGCTGAAGAAGTCACAAGCGTCATAATAAATTCACAGCTTTCCTGCAACCACTAGCCCCGAACCGTTGTTACCTCCTTTGCTCTGTCAGTCTAGTTGATTCAAATTCGTTCTTTTATGGCCAGTAGAATAAGGGAAAAATCGAAATGTATCGGGCTAAATGAAACTTCAATTCTTCCCTATGAAATACTTGAAATGGGTAAAGAGAGAAGGGAACACGAAGTAAGAGAAAAAAAATACCTGTACTTCTATAAAATTGTTTTTTAAAAAGACCATAACTACTAAGGTGTCCTCAATAACTTTGCTACCTTGTTTAGGTAGCATTCGTTGCAGGTTAGGCTCAGATGAATTCTACGAGAATTCTTATCTGTCCCGTTTTATTATAACACAAGGTTCCTGCAGCCAATTGGTCCCTTTGTTAAAAGTACCCCTATCACAGAGTTAAATCGTGTTATTGGTACATGAGAGTACAAAAGTCCACCACCACGAATTACCAAATTCGTAATGTCGCAAATAAGGTCATGAGGTAGTTGCATGAGCAGCGCTTAGAATCGTTTTCTAAAGGTACGTGTTTTTGTCATTGTCCCGAGTCATCGATCGCTGGCGGCCGTTAAATAGACCAATTGACGCTGGTACTTCGTCGATGCGCAACTGCTCGTCTACCCTCTATAATTTAATATCTGCGTGTCCAGTATATGGTAAAATCTGGACGAATAGATAAATTCATAACATATGGATACCGATGTGGCCTATTATATGGCCGACGTTCTCAAACCTGTGGAACTAATCATGGATCCGCATGAATTTATTTGCAGGTTGCTTCAATTAAATGTTACTTCTTGGAATACTGCGTACTAGTTTCAAGCTGATCGATACGCCGATTCCTGCACAAATCTAAAAAGCAGCGCAACAAACCGATAACATTTTGATAAATTTATCTGATGCGGTGCAAAGACCGATTCGATAAATGATACAAAGGATGAACAGTTCCTACGCTTCTTCATCCTCTATAGCTATTAGCTTTTGCCGGAGAACGAAAACCGTTACGTGTCGTATTTGTATCACCTGGATGTTGTCAAAATATATTTTTTATTAAAGGAAAAAAATTTGAATACAAAATATCATTTTGTCTTGTTTGCAATGCTACTGTTTTTAGATTAAGGCATTTTTACACATTTCTCCATTTACTTTTCGTGTTTTGTCGCTGTTTCTGATTGACGACCCTGTTATTGCGTGATCGGCCCTAATCAGGGATGAAGTAAGGGTTACTATTTATCTTGCTAGCTCCACTAACTGTTATGGCCTACTGTTCATTTCCGCTTGGTACGATTGAGCTGCTACTAGAACTACATAAAGTTTCATCCCCGTGTTTATGGCTGTCATCGCTATGGTCCTCTTGCTAAATGCCTTCTCTCGGTTATTACGTTGGGATTTGGCATCGTTCTTCTGCTGTCGTCGAGATTATCCGTCGGTGTGGTGGCCGCTGCTGCCATCGTTAACGCCACGGTGGCTGTTTGGACTTGCTTGTTGAATAGCAATAGGCATATTAGGTGGGTAGGCGGTAAACGCAAAGGGCGCAAGGTAAGCAAGACATAATTTTACCATTCGATCATACACCTATAGTAGCCTAATGATCTGAAAACACTGTATAATATACTGTGTGAATAAGAAAAATAAAAATTGGTCAATCCGATAGCGAAAAAGAGGCAAAGGCTACTATTGAGTTTCGCTTATTATAGGGTCGCAAGCTTTACTGTTTATTGTTGTTACCTACCGACTATTCGTTCATTTTTTCTAATCTCTCTACCATTCTGTGGTCTGGCGTCGTCTACGTGTCGACACGTACAACGACGTCACAGCAAAACTATATGACTGTAATGAGATAACGACAATCACGAGGTGAACGAACAAAAGAACTTGAAATATCTACCAGAGCTAATATCCTAACTGTCACTAACAAACCCGAAAACATATTATAGTATGTTTTCGGGTTTGTTCGGGCAGCAATAATAGCCGTACAAGGAGAGGCGGCCAAAGTCAGCCGCAGTAGATTTGTGACCTTCGCCGACTTAAAGCCGACTCGCAGTTTCCACGATGTGCTGTCTGATGACAGCCCCAATGAGCCTGCGTGTGTATCTCTATGTTTTTGTGTGTTTCTCGTGTTTAGCCTAATAAAGTTCGTACTTTTAAACCGGTATCTATTGTCTTTCCTCGTCTTTCTCTCGCTGCCGCTTCCCATTCATCTCGACGGAGTCTCCATTAAAAAAAACGATGAACAGAACCGACAGCTTTTGTTTGTCCACCGACAAATCGTCACCTTTGGTCGACCAAAGCGGCCTGTGCTGTCGTCGCCTCGGTCGCTAATGGTCGCTGGGTTCGACGGTGATGATAAGTAAAAAAAACGTTTGCCACAGCAATGCTAAACAATAACAGACCCACAAGCGAATAGACGAGCCAATGAGCGACTTCGACGACGAGCTGCGGCCGCTACAGCTGGCAGAGCTGCTGCTGCAGTAGGCTACGGCCGTTCCTTGACGTTGTCCTAGCTAAAGTGATCGCTGAAGCTTGGCTTCGTTTTGGCAAATCCGTACCAGCAAGCAGTTGGGCTCCCTCTAGGTGTCCGAGCAGGCCTTACTTGGAATGCAGGTGACACACAACCGTCAAACGCTGACATGCAGTCAGCTTGGCCAACCCGATCAGCTCGATGTTGAACTAGATCTTATTATGACACTAATTATTGTTATTCTATATAGTATATATTCAGATTCAACGAATACGATATTAGTAAATAATAACTTGATTGCAGCATGTACGAGCTACTCACGGACAGATATATTCAAGCGTTGAAGATTTCAGAACACGTATACATGCAAAGCTTGCATGACAATTGAACATACCGCTAGTTTAGTCATCGTTAAGAAGCCACAGATTTTACCAGTGGCATTGGATAAATCTAGTAACCTTCTTCATCTAAAGCAATTGTTTTGTCTATCATTTACCTAAATGAGTCCGATACGGTACGAACATCACATTCACTTCCGTTGGTTTGTTTATCGAACCCGTACTACCCGATGGCAGTAGCAGTTCGTCCTATTATTCTGCATCGCACCGGCAGCCCACGTAAAAAAGTCGAACCCAATTCCTTCGTATGCTTGCCGTACGTTTTCTACCGAAAGAATATCGACAGTGTTATGTGTTTACCGTTCGAGGTGTATCCATTATTACACTATTACGCTATGCAATAGTTGTCTGAAGTTCTTCGTTCTTCGCACGATCACTGTTGTTGCTTGAGGGCAGAAATCGCTCGGTAAAGTGAAATGATGATTGTCGAATAACTTTAAACACGTTTGGCTTTCAATTAAACGTCTACTCCATATATAATATATGCGTATATGGCGAAAAAAAAAAAGTCTCATAGTAAAAAAAGACTTGACCATAAGCACGATGCACGACCTTTTGTGTTAATCGACTCTCGTGAAGATATTCCTATTACACTATTCTTAATTACAGCGAAAGGATTCAACGCTTCGAGGCTGTTCATCATTGGGTGATTATTGTGCTAAAAACGTTGTTGTAAGGACCCAATGAACGCGCTGCCCGGGATCGAGTTGATATGAAATCAAGATCACATCTCTAAATAGTTAAAAAAAGGTTCATGACAATCATATGGAAAACCTATGTATCAACAATTTGATAATTGCAAGCACGAGTACATATCGGCAAGTCATCAAAAGCACTAAATATAAGCCTACCTTAGTTTCAAATAATGGCCAATATATATATGCTGTTACAGGAATTGAAATATTCAATGCATAGCGTCCGACATTCAGTATCTGGGGTTTTTGATCTTCACCATTGCTGGACAGTGTGAGATTGATCGATCCGAACTTCTACGTTGACAACCGGCATGTTAGATGCTAAAGCTCTGATTGGCGTATGGCTCAGCGGTGATAAAAAACTAGGTCTTATGTTAAAGACCTAGTTTTTGATGCTTGATTGATGCGCGCTATCCAAAAAAGTGATGATGTTAGCCAGTCTGACAGTACGTAACTTTTACAGCCTCCGTACGTACCGTCCATTAAATAATCGCTGAAGCTGCTATGTCCTTTTTCATACGTTATTTTTTGCAATGTCACTTCTGCGGCAACTAGTTTCACAGCACTTGCCATAGTCATTATAGCCGAATAGAATCAGAAAAAAAATAATGCCACCGATATTTCTCATAGCTCTTAGCTACCGTAGCATCTTTTTTTCCCATCAAAATCTGTGGCCTCTTATTTGCTAAAATGCGTTGACCGCCAAAAAGCTGAGCTAAAGTGGTATTACCTTTATGAGAACCGCTATATTTTCTCTCAGATAACCGTTGCTTGGACACCGCCCACACTTCTTAGATCATGGTATACCTTCGTTTTTCTTCTGCACCATAAATCTAGTTCTCTCTGTCGATTGTAGATCGTCAATTTTGCAATAGATAAACAGGCTTCATTCAGCGCTTCGGTCTCCTCGGTACGTCTTTATCGATTAAGCTGTTGGAAAGACAGGCCACTGCGTTGGTGGCTAGGTGTGTACACGCTACTGCAGAAACGCCTATATATATATACAAGCCTTTATTGGTTGGTACTTGGATTGTACATCGTAGACTTTTATAGGTTCGATGTGTCCGCCCTCACCTGACCTGGAACATGACCGCCCTCTGCTCCGAACGTACATACGTAAACGCACAATCGGTCGAATATACTGTCTTATAAACAAGAAACCTAACACCCTTTTCTTATTAATATCGTGCCTTCGAGGTGAATTCGGTTTACCTCAGATCGTAATTTCCAAATTTCGCTATCACTTATGTGCATATGTATGTTCGGAAACGCATATGTGTAGATACATTTTGTGTACGTACTAGGCGTGTGTAACTGGAAAACGAAGTGGGAGCGGGAGTAAGGAACAATCGGTGGCTAAATGTCTACAAAGAACGAATTCGCGAAGAAGCTGATTTGACATAGCCGACGGGTTCTGAGACCCACTTCGGCCTCTGGTCACTTCAGTTGACTCTTTTTACTTCGGCTGGGACAGCGATTACCATCCAACTGCAAATGACTCATAGCTTCGCTTGGTTGGTTGGGTTGTGTCATTGTGGTTGAAGGGACATCGTCGATGTGCCTAGAGGAACCACTGTTATTGTTGTTTTGAAGGGGAAACATATACCAGGGACAATAAAAACAGCAACAACAAAGGCAAACGGTGTAACAGGCTGGTTGTGCCGGCAGCGATGAGCAAAGGAAAGAACAGCAACCCTGATCGTGGGAAGAAACGATTGACAGGCGACATCGGTGTTGCGCAGGAAGACGACGATGTCTTTGAAGCCCCACGAAGCCACGTACCACGCTACGGCGCAGCAGTTTTCTTTACTATGCAGTAACCTCAGCATCTCTTCATTCCAAGTAAACCTGCCTTTTGTATGATAGTCTAAGCTCTTGTGGATAGACATCACTCAGTAAACACCAATTTGATATATTTGATATACTTGAAAGCTGCTATATATATATATATATATATATATATAGCAGAGTTCAAGGCTCAGTCACAACACTATTTCTATCCGTGTTGAGGAAACCTGTACTGTTTAACTAAGGAAATTATGTACTACTTGACTAAAGCTAGATTATTTTATTAATGTTTATAATATGATAGCATAGACATCATATGAGGTCCTGTCATTACAGTACACACCCGTCCATCTACATTTGTCACGGTCAGCTAGAAGCTAGGACATTTTAAGGAACATTTTAAGATCCGTAACTGCCTTAAACGTATAGCGATGCATCGACAACGATCTATGCTTCGGTGCCTCTTTGTACTGTCGCTCTTTGTCTTGTACAAAGGAGAGACGTGTTGCGCTGTCAAAAAACCCGCATATCGAACGAGAAGCACGGAAGCAATAGAACGCAGAAATTACAAACGTTATTTTCGATTTACCATGGTTTGTTAGTCACTTTAGCGGCGATTTGGCTTCTGTCCGACGATTATCGCACAGGTCGCTATTAATTACGCTGCCCCTGTT